CAGCCAACTAGCTCTGGGTAAGGACCACTCGGCTCTACGGACTCATCCGAAGGCAAAGCTGAGAGCGAGTGACCTAAAGCCAGAGGAGTGGCCTGTGCGGAGGACCAGGTGAAGCCGAAGCGCTGAAGGACCTGCTGCACCATGTGTGACTGAGTCAGTGTGATGGTGCGGCGCGCTCTGTCCCGGGTGATCTGCAAGCCAAGGTAGCTGCGCAGTTCACCCAGGTCTGTGCACGTGTGTCTCTTCTGCAGCTCCGACTTCACGTGGGCGAGAGCCTCTGTGTCAGCAGTGGCAAAGACCAAGTCGTCGACGTACACGAGGATGTAGAAGGGCGGCAACAAAGTGTCGGTGTGCAGAAACGACCCAGTGAAGCCAGGAGGGCGGCGCAGCCAGATCTCCTCGTGCAGGCTGCCCTGCAAGAAAGCTGTGCTAAAGTCAAGAGAGTGAAGCTCGTAGTCACGCTGAGCAGGAACGTGCAGTAGCACTCGAAGAGTGGTCATCTTCGGGGTGGGGGAGAAGGTCTGAAAGAAGTCCACTCCCTCTCGCTGACTGAAGCCTCGAGCAACGTAACGAGCCTTGAAGACAGGCGGAGAACCTGGCGGCCGCTTCACCCAGAAAATCCACATGCCACTGACGATGTTCGCACCAGGAGGGGGAACCTCGTCGACGTAAGTGCCAGTGGACTTCCAGGATGCCATCTCTGCGTCCGTGGCTGACTGCCACTGAGAGGAGTACTCACCCGCGATCGCCTCAGCGTAAGAGCGCGGGGTCGAGATGTCTGGAGCATCCGGGTCTCCCTCAGGGACAAGCAGCATGGATACGAGATGAGGCGCAGCGGCTGCAAGACACTCAAGGTCCTCCTGTCTGTCCTCAAGGACGTCCGTGCCTAGAGCACACTCACCCCCGACGGACGGAGGACAGACAGACTCAGACTCAGCAACGAGACTAGCGGCGTAGTCTAGACGACAGCTAGCAGCAAAGTCGACAAGCTCAGCAACTAGGGCAGACGCAGCAGCAGACTCAAAGGAAGGGTCAGTGACAGCAGTGGCCAGGAGACGCGTGACAGTAGGACTGGCCGCACGAAGAGAGTCGGACTCCGGGTCAGAAAGAACGGGAAGAGAGGACGGAGGAGGAGACGGCAGAGGGACACGCTGTGGAGCAGTGGAAGGACGCAGAGTCATATAGTGTGTGCCAGGGACAGGTGGAGGACGCTCATGCGGAACACGGCAACCAGTGCGAGCAGCACGAACAGGTGACACAGGACGAGACACAGGCGATACAGGACGAGACACAGCACAGACGCAGACGCACTAGCACCTAGGGCAGCAGCTTCACCAGGACCTAGAGCAGCAGACGCACTAGCACCTAGAGCTGCAGCCTCACTGGTCCCAATACCCGGGTCGGACGGTACACTCAGGTAACAGTCACCCTCAACACTACTAGTCAATGCATACATAGCAGCAAGGATAGCATCATAATCAAGAGCAAAGATGTCAATCCCTTTCTTAAGCAGATCAGCCCAGCTGGGCAGCTCAGAGGCGTCAGGAAACTGCTCGCGCCAGGCGTCGTCGAGGCGAAAGAAACAGCGCTGCGCCGTGTGAAACCTCCCACAGGTCTCGCTAGTGCGGTCACCTGTACGGATGACGTACGGGCAGGTACCTCCACCCCTAGACCCCCCACGCTGAGAGTACCACTCACGGAGCTGGTGGGGCGATGGGGTCTCGCTGGGACGCTGCTGCTGCTGCCTGTGGCCGCCGCCGAGCCCGCCACGCTGCACCGCTCCACCGCGCCCTCCACCAGCTCCACCGCCACCACCACCGCCACCACCACCCCCGCCACCTCCACCACCGCCGCCTCCACCACCCCCGGCTCCGCCACTGCCCCCCCCACCACCAGCACCACTCCCCTGTGCGGATGACGTACGGGCAGGTACCTCCACCCCCAGACCCCCCACGCTGAGAGTACCACTCACGGAGCTGCTGGGGCGACGGGGTCTCGCTGGGACGCTGCTGCTGCTGCCTGTGGCCGCCGCCGAGCCCGCCACGCTCCACTGCTCCACCGCGCCCTCCACCAGCTCCACCGCCACCACCACCGCCACCACCACCCCCGCCACCTCCACCACCGCCGCCTCCACCACCCCCGGCTCCGCCACCGCCCCCCCCACCACCAGCACCACTCCCACCACCGCCGCCACCGCTGCCGCCCCCTCCACCCCCTCCACCACTACCTCCCCCGCCGCCACCTCCGCCACCCCGGCCCCCCTTGCCCCTGCCGCCCTTGCGCCGCCCACTGGGAGCGTACGCAGCTCCGACCCCCTCAGCACCTAGGAAGTCGACAGCAGCAGCAGATGCAATGGAGGGGAGAAGGGGGGAGGGGGAACATCCCTCAAAGAAGGGAGTGCGAGGGTCGCCACGAGAGGCACCTACAGCTACAATGCTCTTCTCAGCTGCAAGGAGTTCCTTCTCGAGTAGGTCGATAGTGAGGTCTGTGGGGGAGAGAGCGAGAAAGTGGTCCCTGACAGCGCGAAGAGTGTCAGGGAGGCGATTGACTAGGTGGTAGAGGGTGAGGTACATCGGGGGGGGGGGGGGGGGTTCTTGGCTAGGAAATCGGGGGGGAGCGAGGCACAGTAGCGGAGATCACTAGTACGGAGGTGAGTGATGAGGTCAGCTACAGTGGCAAAGGCAGACAGATCTGGGAAGAGATAGGGCAGTCAGAGACGGCCTATCGCAGCAGTAGCAGGGGAGGAGTAGCGTGCAACTACAGCATCGTACAGCTCCTTAGCGGTCTTATGCTGGCCGAAGTGCTCGCGCTCATCTAACGGCAGGTGACTGCGAACGGCTAGGCGAGCATGGGCGTCACGAGTCTACCACAGTGAGCGAGCAGTACTGTCAACAGTAGCAGCAGGTGCAGGGGCAGCGCCGGACGTGTGGTCATATAGGGAAACGTCGTCCTTGGCAGTGATCTGGAGGAACAGGTGTAGGTCATCTAGCCAGACATCAAACTTAATCGGTCGGCCCTCAGTGTCAAAAGTGAGAACAGTAGGACTGGCCTTAGTGGCAGTAGCAGTAGCAGCAGTAGCAGTAGCAGTAGCAGCAGTAGCAGTAGGAACAGGAACAGTAGTTGCGGCAGGTGGGGCGGCGCGGCTCGTTCAGGGCGGCGCGATTCGGGCGGCGCGACTCGGGCGGCGCGGCTCGGGCATGTAGGGCGGCGAGACGGCGGGCCTATGCCCTGTGCTAGGCGACGGCCTACGAGGGGGCGGCGGCCTACGGGGTGGCGGCAACTGACGCGCGGGCGGCGACCTACTCGTGGGCGGCGGCCTTCGTGGGCTGGGCGGCAGCCTACGCGGCAGTCGACGGGCAGCGCGCACGCTGCTCTAGGGGTCGTGCGAGGCCAGGGCGGGCTACGCGTGGGCGGCTACCTGGTCGCGCGCACGTGAAACGGGCCGCGCGCGGGCGGCTAGCGGGCTGCGCGGGCAAAAAACGAGCCGCGCGCGGGCGACTAGCGGGCGACGCGGCCGAAATAGCGGGGCGCTCGAGGGCGCACTAGGAGTGAGGCGCAGGAGGGCGCAATTAGGAGAAGGCGTACGAGGGCGCAACTAGCGGGACGATGGGCCCTTAGGTAAGTGGTCCTAGGTCTAGGACCTACGCTCTTAATACCATGTCAGAAACAAGAAGTGTTGAACTAGAAAGATTTTGGAGTACAAGTAGGAAACCCCAGAGAAGTGTATCCCCTAAAGGCTAACCCACTGTAGCCTACACAACAGAAACATATATAATGTTTGACACCCATGACCCCGAATCCCGACAACCCGGTGCCACGAGCACAAAAGTTCGCCGAAATTTTACAAACAGCACGGACCTGGGCAGCAGACGCAATAAAAAAATCGAACATCATCGCTAAACGTAACGCCGACCGCCACCGCCGACCTGTCACTTACCAACCTGACGACCTAGTTTTACTCGACACTCAGAACCTCCGCCTGCCCATCACCCCAAAACTCCGCCCCCGATATTGCGGGCCATTTCGCATAAGCCACATGATTACACCTTCACCGCCCATCTCCTCCTCCCCGCTGACTGGTACGTCAGCCTGTCCTTCCACGTCAGCCTACTTCGCCCCTACATACCGTCCACAAGCCAACTACCACGTAATCGCCCAGCCAGTATGAGACGACCGCGGACTGAACCAATCTTCACACCCGAGAAAATTCTGAGCCACAGAGTTCGTGACCCTCGAGGAGCCCGAAGGATCGAGTTCCTGATCCGCTGGAAAGACCGTACACCCACCGAAGACAACTGGGTTCCCCTGGACAGAGTCGAAAACCACCCCGTCCTCACAGAGTATCTGCGCAGCCGAAACTTCAGGGACGTACACGCGCTTTCGTAAGGAGGACCTCCTTAGGGGGGGGGGGGGGGGGGGGGGGGGGTAGTGTAAGGAAAATTCATTTTCCTTACTTCGCGTCCCCGTTCAGCGCGTACACCACAGTAGCACCACAGTCAGCACCGTTACCACTCGCAACCCTCGCATCGACAATCCTCCCGCCACCTTCGCACGTCGCACCCCGACCTCACGGCTTGGCGGGTAACCCGCGCACCGGACCTCCGATTCGACATTTCCCCAAACCTTAGTCCCAGGCCCGCCGCGCGACAACCATAGTCCATTACCGTTACCACTGTAGTTTCGCTATATATTCTTCGCTCATGTCTTCGCTCATTGTATTCTTGCTTTGATAGTGCACTTCTCGCTCGATCACTCAATTGTACTCGTAACATACACCCTTCCTTTCTCCTTTCATATAAATAATTAGGACTCTTTTAGTACACCACACCCATCATTTAGACCATTGTTGAGAAGTAGTCATGATTATTTTTTGACTTGTCCAATACATACCACAATTGATTTTACCAAATACTACAATCGTGTCTATACATCAGGTAACTTAATAAATAGTATGATTTTGATATATGTGGCTTTGAAGCGAAACAAAGCTGCATGCGGAATCATGTAGAAAAGGGCTTGAAGGTGAGTGCGAAAGTGCGGATCTCCAATGGCCCCAATTCCACCACCAGCTGCTGCGGATCCACCTTCCCCCCATACACCGGCCTCTCAGATGACACCTCCCCTGGTGCACCCTGTGTTGATGCTGTCGTCTCCTCCCGCCATACCATTGGCGGGCGCATGTCTGCCTTCTTCTGATTGGCCGTCAAGCTGAGCTCTGTGAGAGAGATGATCTGTGGGGATGGAACCAGGGCAATGGTGGAAAGACAGAGGGATGGAACAGAGTGATTTGGGCGCTGGGTGGGAGGAAGGGGGGTGTATAAGATGGAGAGAATGCAGTGGTTGCTGATCGTTGGTAGGAAGACAAGTGTGAGTGCAGCACGGCATTGTGCATGGATGGAAGGACGGAGGAGCACATGCTTGTGGCTGCACCGCTTCTAGTGGGCGGGGGCACATGCACGCAAGCACACACATGGTCAAGGTGCATGCTGAGACATGCTGAGACATGCTGAGACATGCCGAGACATGCCGAGACATGCTGAGACATGCTGAGACATGCTGAGACATGCTGAGACATGCTGAGACATGCTGAGACATGCTGAGACATGCTGAGACATGCTGAGACATGCCGAGACATGCTGAGACATGCTGAGACATGCTGAGACATGCTGAGACATGCACACCTGTCTGGAAGCAAAGAGCTGTCGCAGGGGCACAGAGGCCATGGTGGATAGAGAGGGATGCTCCTTGGCCTGATGGCAGCCCATGGGGTGGGTGGGGGGATGAGAGAAGGGGGAGAAGGGACGAAGGAGGGACGCAGAAGGAAATGGAAGGAACACGTGACGTGAAAGCAAAGCACAGATGCATGAGCGAGGTAAGAAACTGTGCCCAGCAACAGGTGCAGGAATGTCTTAGGAATTAGACACAGTGGATGCTGTGGGTGGGACACTGAGATTCCGCACAAGCCAAGGAGATTGGAGTGGAGAGAGTGAAGGAGAGAGAGCGAGTGTGTCTGAGTAAGACAGAGAGTGGGGGGTGGGGTTGCCGAGGGAAAGTGGGCGGGAGGGTGCGGAGGAGGTAAAGGCAGCAGGTGAAGGCAGCAGGTTTGGAGAGCAGGTGCGGGGCAGCAGGTGCGGTGCAGGGCAGCAGGTGCAGGGCAGCAGGTGCGGGTCAGCAGGTGCGGTGGAGGAGCAGAGACCTCATAGAGATGAGCGAGGCGCAGCAGCAGGTGGTTGCGGGAGAGCTCCTGCATGGAGATGACCGCCACGTTGGGCGGCAGCGAGTACAGCCCCCCCGCCTGCATGTCGCCCTCCCCGCCCTCGCCACTCAGGGAGTACCGCCACCTCAGCCGCCCTGCTGCTGCTGCCAGTGCCTCCGGGTTCTGCACGGGGGCGTGCGGAGGTGGGTGGGGGGATGTGGGGTTGGGCGCCAGTGTGTGGCGGCGAGTGCATGGGGATGTGGTGAGTGTGTGGGTGGGTGTAACGTGGTGTGTAGTGTGGGTGAGGTGGCAGTTGCAAGGGAGGAAAAGGGAGTGGGGGGAGCAGGCGAGGCAAACGAAACAACTCGCATGGTAAGGAGACAGAGAACATGGTCGTGACGGGAAATATCAGGCGGGAAGTTGAGAGTGCAGATCATGAATGGAGTCTCAACAGATACTGCTTCCACCGAGCTGGTGCCATCAATGGTCTTTGATTTGATACGGAGGGCCACGGTGCCTCGGGGGGACCTTATCTTCATAAGTCTCAAAGACGGCCTTTTCTTATTTGTTGCGCAAGCAGCACATGCAAGTCGCAACTACCTCGACTGCAAAGGCCAGCTGTAGAGGTGTCAGCAGGCGCTGCGCGTGCTCTCTTCTCCACTGTGCCGCCTCCTCCCCTCCCTGCCACTCCTCCTTCCCCCCCCCACCCGACGGGGCGGCAATTGTAGGGGAGCCGTCAGTGTTAGGGACAGCATCGGCAGCAGCCGCAGCAGCAGCACCACCACCACCAGCATCAGCGCCGGCAGCAGCAGCAGAAGCAGCAGCAGCAGCAGCAGCAGCAGCAGCAGCAGCGTCAGCAACAGCAGCCGCAGCAATGGGAACTTTCCTCCTCCCCGGGTGCAGCGCAAAGCGGATGGAACCAACAACCTGGGAGACATACACATGCAGGGTAGAGAATGGGTGGGTGCATGGCAGCGTGGGTGCATGGCAGCGTGGTTGCATGGCAGCGTGGGTGCATGGCAGCGTGGTTGCATGGCAGCTTGGAAAAGGCAAAACACAGAAGCTGTGTTCGTTGGAGTTGTGAAGGCGGATGTGTTACGAGCTCTACTGACCGTAGCAGGCGTAGGGTAGAAAGAAAGAGCAGAGGTGAAACGAGGGGGAGCAAGGGGCCTAGGTAAGGAAAGGATGGATGCAAAGAGGTTTGTGTTCCTGATTGCGTGTGCATGCTTGCTATTGCATGTCTGTATTTGCACATGCGCATGTGCTTGTGCATGTGCATGTGCATGTGCATGCGTTTGCATGTGGGCGTTTGTGTGTGTGTGTGTGCGCGCATGCGACATACAGCGAGGGGTTCGCACTGGCCGTTATTGATGCAGACGGTCTCCTTGAGCACCTCCGCCACGCCCTTGCCGTCGTCCATCTGCAGGCGCCTGCCATGCCATGCACCGTGCGTGGGAGTGGGGGTGATGCGCATGGAACGTGGGGGAAGGGACGTGGAAAGTGGGGCGAGGCACATGGAAAGTGGAAAGTGGGGATGGGAGAGTGGGGAGGGGGGAGTGGGGAGGGGGGAGTGGGGAGGGGGGAGTGGGGAGGGGGGATTGGGGAGGGGGGAGTGGGGAGGGGGGGGGTGGGGAGGGGGACGTGAGGAGTGGGGAATGGGCAAGGGGGTTGAGGAGTGGGGAGGGGTGAATGGGGAGGGGGGAGTGGGGAGTCGAGAGTGGGGAGTGGAGAGTGGGGTGTGGGGAGTGGGGTGTGGGGAGTGTGGAGGCAGAGTGGTGTATAAGGTGAGGCATGGGGCGGTGGGATGGGATCGAGATGGTGCTGTACTGAGGTTGACTGTGGACAAGAGCCCATGTGATCCACACCGTGATGAGTCCATTTCTGAGTCGACTCTAAAAAATACAATAGCCCATCTGATCCACACCATTGCACTGCACCGCCTATCCCCTCCTGCCTCCCCTCCTCCCCCTGCCTACCTCCTTTCCGCGCTAGCCTCTTTCTGCAGCCACGCTTTCACAAAACCATGCAGCATCACCATCCCCACATGTGCATCACCATCCCCACATGTGCATCACCATCCCCACATGTGCAGCACCACCCCCACTTCTGCATCACCACCCCCACCTGTGCAGCATGACCTCCAGCTGTCCATCGGCCAGGCTGCTGGCCCCCAGAGCACGGTCCACCAGCACTGACAGCTGCACGCTGGGGTCCCCTATGTGCGCACCGCTAGTCAGCTGAGGGGGGCAGCGGGGGGAGGTTATCGGTGGGTCACGTTTGACGATTGAAATACATGATCTCCAGCTGCCCGTCAGCCAGGCTGCTTGCCCCCAGCCCCAGGGCACCTCCCACCAGCACTGACAGCTGCGCGCTGGGGTCCCCCATGTGCGCACCGCACGTCAGCTGGGGGGACAGGGGAGGGGATATGGGTGGGTCCGCCTGACTGACTTAAGAGAATTCTCAAGCATCTAGCTGCGCGTCCGCCATTCTACTGCCCCCCCCCAGCCCCAAGGCACGGCCCACCAGCACTGACAGCTGCGCGCTGGGGGGAGGGAGCTGGGGGGAGCAGCGGGGGGAGGGAGGTTATGGGTGTTGGACGAGGGGAATAGAAGGAAGTGGCGGTCGAGAGCTTTGGGTTTGGGAGTTGGGAGTTGGAGGGTAGGGCTGTTGAAAAGAGGATAGTGGGGATGAGAGGGCAAAGTGCGAAGTGCGTCCTTCACCTGCAATTGCAAGCCCATAAATGTGCTGCACATGTGGATGTGCAAATGCATGTGCAGTCGCATGTGCATTTGCATGTCCATGTGCATGTGTATGCGCAGGTGCATTTGCATATGCAGGTGCAGGTGCATTTGCATGTGCAGGTGCAGGTGCAGGTGCAGGTGCCATACCGGGTAGTAATTGCCTGCGATGGGATGTGAGACTGGTTCCGTTGCGTCATATGGGTAGTTGCGGACCTGAGGCACCAGCAGCAGCAGCAGCAGCAGCAGCACACCACAATCAGCGAAGCAAGAAAACAGGGAGAAAGGTGAGAAAATTGCAGGAGAGAGAAGAAAGGCGTAGGGATGCAGCAGGAGAACGCAAGCAGGCGTGCTGTGTGAGGTTGCATGCGCGCACGCGCGTGCGTGCGTGCGTGCATGTGATGATGGTACGCACACGAGTCATGTAGTCTCGGCCGTTAGAATCGGTGTAGAAGGTGGAGTTGGAGCGGATTGTGGAGTCAAAGCGAGTGATGTACTCCCTGCCCACCGCATCCCTCTCATCCATGCCCACCTGCTCTCCACACCACCGCCCCCACCCACCCACCCACCCACCAACTCGCACACCCGCCCACCCGCGCACCCCCCCCCACCCACCCACCCACCCATCCGCCCGCCCACCCACGCGCCCACACATCCGCACACCCACCACAGCACCACGCTCATCCCGCAGCCACCCACGGAAGCCCACAGCAAGGCACAACGTTTTAAAACACAAGACATGGCAAGGCAAGGTACACAGAACAGCGGCCAGAGACACATGCACCCAGGAGAAGAGAACAGAGAGGGGAAAGAGTTCAAGAGACAACGGTGGACGAGCAAGAATCTGCCTGAGTGCTTCTTGGCGTGCAGAAGCCTGAGGAGGCGGCAGGAGAAGGGATTTCGTTCAAGGATGTTGGAAACGATCGTCACTCGCTGTAGGTGCTGCAAGTCTGTTGAGAAGGACCGTGCTAGGTCGCAAAGGGTTTTAACTTGGTTGGATGAGAGGTAAAACGACAAACAACAAAGGATGGGTTTTTCAGGAGGAGAAAAGCCTGTGTACTCATGAAAAGCCCAGGAAGGGAGCCTTCCCTTCCACAAACCCACAAAACAGCCCACCCACCCACCCACCCACCGACCCACCCACGCATCCACCCACTCCCCCACGCACCAAACCACTCCCCCACCCACGCCACCAACCATGTAATGCAGTTCGGCATAGTCCTTCCCCGGATACACTCTGAACACCTGGATTGCGGAGAGAGGCGAGGGGGGGAGGGAGAGGGGGGGGGGGCGGGAACAACGACCATGTGTCGTGTGAGTCAGCAAGTGAGTGCAATGCGACATGCACGCGGTGCAACAACGACCATTTGTGTTTGAGGCGTGCCAACCATCAGACCCTATGCTGCTGCTGCTCCCATGAGCAGCAGCGGGGTCAGTACGCACCTCATTGACAGAAGGCGCCACCTTGCGATGGAACTCGTGAACCAGCGGCCCCTTCACCACCCGCACTGGCACCTGCCCTCCCATCATTGGGGCAGGAAGGGATAAATGGGAGAGCGGAAAGGTGAGAGGGGGTGGTTGCGGCGAGGATAATGTGGAAGGATGAGTGTGACAGAGGAGGGAATGTGTGTCCTGGTATGCTAGTGAAAACAAAGATAACAAGGGATGGTAGTGACGCAGGCGCACCCCATTGCCAACAGCATCAGCATTGGCAGCAGCATAGGCATTGGCAGCAGCATCGGCAGCAGCAGCAGCAGCAGCAGAATCATCACCCACCTGCCCATCAGCGTTGTTGGCATCGACTCTCAGTGCTGGATTCAATGGGCGGAAGAGATACGCACCACTCTGTGGGATGTGCCCATGTGATGTGAGAGAGTGGGAGGGCGTGTGTGTGTTTATGTGCATGCGCACACACGTATGAGAGAGTGAGTGTGCGTGTCAATGAAAGTGAGTGCACATGTGTGTGAGAGCAAGGGGAGGCGGGGGGGTGGGGGGGAGAAGGAGGGAGAGAGGGAGGGGGGGGGGGAGGGAGGCGGGGGGACGAAAAGGGAGAACGGCGCAGGACAACCCATCAGTTGCGTGTGACGAAGTCAAGAACCAATCAGCATCTGCAGCTCGGCCCAGTTGTCCCCCCATCATCTCCTGCTAAAAAAGACACGGATGGACATCAAGGTGTGAGCCATGCTCTTCAAGTGCAAGCCTCTTCAAACACCGTGCCCAACCTCCCTGAGGCTTTATCAGTACGAAAATACGGCGATGTCCACTAATGAGGCGTCAGAACTGCTGCGTTAAAGCGACGGTGCACATTTGCCACCCGAAACCCGAAACCCAGGCGAACTGTTACTGCAGGGGAAAAGTGTCTGCACGAAATCCAGGTTTTCGCCAGCCAAAACTTTCGCGCTGGCAAGCCTGGTTCAAAACAAAAACTTCTGAACCTCCGCCAGGCGAATCTAGACCCTCGTTTTAATGCCGAACCTGGCAGATCCCGCAATTCCTTCCTCTGATGCCATCTGCTGCACCCAGCCTGCGTGATGGCTGAGATACAAAGGAATGGTTTCGATCCACTGCCATGCATGCATGCACACGTGCGTGCGTGCGTGTGTGCACGCGCGATGTTGCATGGACACTCACCAAGGTTTTACTATAGGCCATGAGACTGCTTGTCAGCTCCACCTCTGCTTGCTGTGATCCGAACGTAGGGGGAAGGGGTAAGGAAGGAAAGAAGGGAGAGGACGGGTGGGAGGGGTTGAGGGGAGGAACAAAGGAGGGCTGGAAGACAGGGCACTGTGAGAGGGGGCTGTAGTACAGTCCTGCATGGGGCAGGAGAGATGTGTGTGGGGGGAAACACAAGCAGAAGACTGACGACAAGCACAACCATAAGCACAGCAAAGCAAAGCACAGCACAGCACAGAAAACCACCGCACAGCACAGCACAGCACAGCACCGCATGTGCATGCACGCTACCGTTCCCTGCGCGCGGCTCACTGGCTCACCACAGCAGAGCTCCCAGCAGCAGCAGCATCGCCGCCTCGCATGAGCTCCATCTTCGCCAACCCATAGCCGCTTCTAGAGAAGCTCACTCGCGCCCACGCCTCCCCTCCCCCTCCCCCTCCTCCTCCTGCTGCCCCACGAGAAGCAGCAGGAAGCGATGGGGCCGGGCCTCCAAGAACGATGCTGTCTTCTCCCTCCTGTGCCTCTGCACCGCTGCCCTGTGCTGCTGTGCTGCCCTCTTCCTCTGCACTGCCCTGTGCTGCTGCGCTGCCGTCTGGTGTGGCGGTACCGGCAGCAGAAGCGCCCTGCAGCGGCACGTTGTCGTTCCACTCACTGCTGTTGCTCGCCATGCCTGCTGCACCTGGACTTGCTTGCACACGGGGTGGTGAGAGAGGTGTAACAGAAGGGGCGACATAGCTTGAGACAGAGGGGGCAAGAGAGGTGGGGAGAGAGGGGAGGGGAGACAGAGAGGGGAACAGAGGGTTCAGCGAGAGAGAAGGGGTGGATCCAGCTGGAATGAATGGATAAAGCGCAGCACAGCACAGCACAGCGCCAACTCAACTTTCACCTACCAGCAAACCCAATATCCTACCTACCGCCATTCATTCACCCAGCATCTCAGCATTACTCTTGGCATATCCTGAGGCGGTCAGTCAGCTCGCCGCCAACACCACCAGTCGCCCCTCCAAGTTGCACCTGCAGACCCCCACCCGCCAAACTCCACATCACCCTCACCCTCCCACACTCCCCTCCACATCACCCTCACCCTCCCACACTCCCCTCCACATCACCCTCACCCTCCGACACTCCTTCCCCACCCAAAACTCTACCACCTCCACCTTTCTCCTCCCCCACTCCCTCCCCCATTCCCCCTCCCCCTCTGGTCCTGTGCGCACCTGGCTGGGCTCAAACACCACGCTCAGCAGCGGGCCCCGCGGGGTGGGCTGCAGGCGCACGCCGGCCACTACCTGAGCTCCCCTCCCCATCACCCTCACCCTCACACACTCCTTCCCCACCCTAAAACCTACCACCTCCACTTCCCCCTTCCCCACCCTCCTCCCCCACTCCCTCCCCCATCCCCCCTCCCCCTCTCCCTCCCCCTCCTCCCCCCCCTTCTGGTCCTGCGCGCACCTGGCTGGGCGGGGGAGAGGAAGAAGGTGGCATAGCCCAGCGGCGGCACCTGCGCCTCAAACACCACGCTCAGCAGCGGCGCTGCGGCAGAGCCATCCGACAAGGGCCCCACCGTGGGCTGCAGGCGCGCGCCGGTGTTTGCCTGCACGTGCACGGAGCGCAGGCGCGGCGGCACCAGCCCCTCGGGTACTATCTGTGACGCCACCACTCGCCCCGCCGCATCCCGCACCTCCACCCCTGCGGAGGACACCTGGGGGTGGGGAGGGAGGGGGAAGGAGGGGGGAAGGAGGGGCGGAGATGGATGTAAGAGAAGGGGTGTGGAGCTGAAAGGATGAGCAAGTGGGAGAAGGGGTGTGATATGACACAGAGCGCAGGCGTGGCGGCACCAGCCCCTCGGGTACTATCTGAGCCGCCACCACTCGCCCCGCCGCATCCCGCACCTGCACCCCTGCGGAGGACACCTGGGGGTGGGGAGGGGGAGGAAGGAGGGGGGAAGGAGGGGGAAGGAGGGGGGAAGAGAGGGGGGAGAAGGGGTTTGGAGGTGAAAGAATGAGCGAGTGGGAAATGGGGTGTGAGATGACACGGAGCGCAGCGCAGTCACAGCGGCAGCACCAACCCTTGTGGCAGCACCTGTGCTGCCACCACTCGCCCTGCCGCGCCCCGCACCTCCACCCTGCGGACGCCACCTGGAGGGGGGTGGGGCAGGACAGGGGGGAAGGGGGCGTGAGGCGGTGAGAGAACGAGCGCTTGGGGGGTGCGGGGTGGGGTGGGGTGGGGTGTGGCGCGTGCAGAAAGGTAGTAGCTGGGTGGATTTAGCTGGGTGTGATAGGGATTCAGCTGGATTAAGCTGGGATGTGTGAGGTGGCTTACCGGGAAGCGGATGATCTCAGAGCGAACCCATGCGAGTGGGTTGTATGCCACAACGACCTGAAGACGGGGGATAGAGAGAAGGGGGGAAGGGAAACAGGTGAGAGACAGATAGGCGAGAGAGAGACAGGAGAGAGGTGAGAGACAGATTGGCGAGAGACAGATAGGCGAGAGACAGATAGGCGAGAGACAGATAGGCGAGAGACAGATTGGCGAGAGACAGAGAGGTGAGAGACAGATAGGCGAGAGACAGAGAGGTGAGAGACAGATAGGCGAGAGACAGAGAGGTGAGAGACAGATAGGCGAGAGACAGAGAGGTGAGAGACAGGAGCAGGAGTGGGATGCATTTCCTTTTTTTGTGTGCGTGACCAACACACTTCTTCTCTTAAAAAGCGTGCGTGCGCTATAGGCACAAGTCTACCCTCAAACGCGTATGTGTGCAAAGCATGCGTGCTGAACTGACAGCATATTCGTTCAAATCCCCACGTAAATGTTTGCAAAACAAACGTGTGTGCTCTTTCCGCCCTAGCCAGTCCGCCCTCTGGTCCCACTACCCACCCTCATCCCCATTCATGCTCCCTCCCTTCCTCCTCCCTCCCTCCTCATTCCCTCCTCCCTTCCCCTCCCCTTCCCCCCTGCTCGCTTAGGGCGCACCAGAGTGGAGGTGGGCGACAGCAGCTGCTGAGAGGGCGGGCAGAAGGAAATGTTTAGCAGGGGGCACTGGGACGGGGAAGGGGTGGATGGGGCAGGTGGGGGAGAGGGGGGGTATGGAGCACAGGGAAGCGGAGAAGTGGATGAGACGGGGAGATAGGCGTGAGCAGGGGAGAAGGGGAGAAGGGGGGAGCAGGGGAGAAGGGACTGAGCAGGAGAGAAGGGGCCAGGGAAGGAACAATTGTGCAGCAACAAGGGAAGAGAAGCAAGGAGATCATGTTGAAAGCAGGTGGGGAAGGGGGAGGGGCATGAAAGGGCACAAACGGCGATTGCGGCGAGCCCGTTAGGGCGTGCAGGCAGTGCAACAATATAACCCCAGGCGCAACCATGCGCGGCAAGGGAGGGGCGCAGGCAAAGTACGCAGAGAAGAAGCAGCAGCAGTAGCAGCAGCAGCAGCAGCAGCAGCAGCAGCAGCAGCAGCAGCAGCAGCAGCAGCAGCAGCAGCAGCAGCAGCAGCAGCAGCAGCAGCAGCAGCAGCAGCAGCAGCAGCAGCAGCAGCAGCAGCAGCAGCAGCAGCAGCAGCAGCAGCAGCAGCAGCAGCAGCAGCAGCAGCAGCAGCAGCAGCAGCAGCAGCAGCAGCAGCAGCAGCAGCAGCAGCAGCAGCAGCAGCAGCAGCAGCAGCAGCAGCAGCAGCAGCAGCAGCAGCAGCAGCAGCAGCAGCAGCAGCAGCAGCAGCAGCAGCAGCAGCAGCAGCAGCAGCAGCAGCAGCAGCAGCAGCAGCAGCAGCAGCAGCAGCAGCAGCAGCAGCAGCAGCAGCAGCAGCAGCAGCAGCAGCAGCAGCAGCAGCAGCAGCAGCAGCAGCAGCAGCAGCAGCAGCAGCAGCAGCAGCAGCAGCAGCAGCAGCAGCAGCAGCAGCAGCAGCAGCAGCAGCAGCAGCAGCAGCAGCAGCAGCAGCAGCAGCAGCAGCAGCAGCAGCAGCAGCAGGCAGGGCAACACTGAAGATGAGGGGCAACCTAGGTTAGCATAGGGAGGAGCAAAGGCAGGGCACAGTACCAGGGCAAAGTCAAGTGCAGGCATGGCAGCACTCGGGTCACTGGAGTTATTCAAGTCGCCTGAGCCGCCTGATAGCCCTCTGCCAGGCCGCCTCCTCCTTCCTTCATCCCTCCACTGCTCACCCATCCCCTCCCCCTCCGCCTTCCAGGTACGTCCCTGCCGTCCCTCTCCTCCCTCACCCATCTCAACTCCTGCATCTCCCCGCCACCCCACCCCCAGCAGCCGCCTTCCCAGCTTGCCCAAACTACCTTCCCCTCCTCCCCCGTCCCCTTCCCCTCCCCCGTCCCTTACCCCACCCTCTTCCCCTTCCTGCACCACCTCCATAGGCACCCTCTTCCTCCACGCCTCCCCTGCCCCTGCTGCGCCTTCTCCCCCCGCCCCTCCTCCCTGCTCCCCTTCCGCCCGTGCTGCTTCCCACGCCTGGTGCCTCTGGAACCACTGCGGGTCCACTCTTATACCCGCCTCCCCGCTCTGCGGGCGCTCTGGGTAGGAAAGCTGGGGAGGACCCTCCGCCGCAGGCTCGGTAAATTGTTCTGGCAAGGGTCTACGGTAGGGGAAGGGCATCTCAGGCCTGGGCATGGGGTTTGAGGTTTGGCCGGTTGTTACTGCTTCGGCAGCTGCAGCTATCATTTCTGGAGTTATAGCACGAGTGCCCGCTTGTTGCTGCTGCTGCTGCTGCTGCTGTTGCCATTGCTGCTGCCGTATCATCTCTTGCTGCTGCTGCTCCTGCTGCTGTTGCTGTTGCTGTTCTTGCTGCTGTTGCTGCTGCTGCTGCTGCTGCTGCTCCAACTCCTGCTGCTGCTGCTTCCCGGCTGCGGCTGAGACGAAGGCAGTGTGCGCGCCTTTGGTGATGAGATACGCGAGAGCTGATGTGAGCACTTGAGAGGCCTGCCACGGATGGTGCGAGGGTGTAAGAGAGGCGCGGAAAACGAAGGGGGACAGCAGGAACAAGACGGATGGAGAAGGAGAGGGATATGCAGAGGGAGCGGTGGAGGAGGGAGAGATGTGGGCGGGTGTGCTGTATGCAAGGGAAAGGCTGGCTACTGTGTCCTGCCTGGACTTTGCCCTGGTACACTGGTACTGGGCACAGCCAAGTGCAGGCCCTGCAAGGCCAAGTCAGGTCAAGAGTGGTGGGCGGGTGTGCTGCATGCAAGGGAAGGGCTGGTTACAGTGAATTACTTTCAGGAGGCAAGCCATTCACTGGTAGTCTGGTAAGACTCATGAATCATGTTAAGACAGAGTCCTGTTAGGACAGAATCCTGGTAAGTCAGAATCCTGTTAAGACAGAATCCTGTTAAGACAGAATCCTGTTAAGACCGAATCCTGTTAAGACAGAATCATGTTAAGTCAGAATCATGTTAAGACAGAATCATGTCACTCTGCAGAATCCCCTTTCCTGTCCCTTTCGTCATCTCATCCCCCATACCTCTCCTCTTCCACAGCCTATGCCCCCACCCCTCCTCTCATCCTCTCCTCACCTTCACCCCTCCCTCATCCTCTCCTCTCATCCCCTCCTCCCCTCCTCCCCTCATCCCCTCATCCCCTCCCCTCCGCACCTCCACAGCACTGGCATGCAGGCACAGCGAGTGGTGGTCATTCAATACATGCTTCTTAGCCATGCCAGTAATAGCATCATGGTGCAGCGTGCCGGCCAATCGCCACTGCGTCCGACGCAGTGCGTCCTCTAAGTTACTCCTTAGTCGACTAACACGCACCTCCACAGCGCCGGCATGCAGGTGCAGCAAGTAGTCATTCGACACATGCTGCTTAGCTGTGCCTGCCGGTGATGGCATCATGGTGCTGAGCAATCGCAATCGCAATAGCAATAGCAAAGCAATAGCCACGGCATCATTAAAGTGAATTCAGAGTAGACCAACACACGCACCTCCACAGCGCCAGCATGCAGGCGCAGCGCGTAGTCATTCGACACATGCTGCTTCGCCGTGCCAGTGATAGCATCATGGTGCTGAGCAATCGCCACAGCATCTTCCAGCGGTGCGGTTGACGCCACGCCCCGCACCACGCGCCGCCACCCCTCCGTCCCCGGGCACTCCTCCTCGCGGGACTCGCATGCCTCCACTCGCTGCGTTTCCAAGCGCTCCTCCTGCTCATCCCACTGCTCCAGCACCCCGCGCCCCACCAACGTCTCCGCTGCTGTGGTTGCCTGGTGGTGGGGAGGAAGAGGGGGGAAGAGGAGAGAAGCGGAGGAGAGAGGAAGGAAGGGGGGCGCTTGGAGTTGGAAGCAAGGCATAGAGAGCCCTCCTCCTGCTCATTCCACTGCTCCCGCGCCCCACCAGCGCCTCCGCTGCTGTGGTTGCCTGGTGGTGGGTGGCGCCCCCACAGGCTACGGGGGAAAGAGAGGGGGAGAGCAGAGGAGTAGAGGAGAGGAGTGGAGGAGAGAGGAAGGAGGGGAAGAGGGGGGGGAAGAGGTGACAGGTTGAAGCAGAGAAGGGGCGAAAGAGGAGAGGGTGGGGGAGGGAGTGGAGGAGAGGGTGGGGAGGGGTAGAGAAGAGCGGGGCCGGCTTTGGAAAGTTAGAGCAAGGCATAGAGGAGGCAGAGTCGATGCAGGCACACAGCAGACAGGCAGCAAGCAGTCAGGGGGCTCCCCTGCCCTGCGAGCAGTGAAGGGCGAGGAAGGGGTACTGAGTGAGTGAAGCAGCTGATTCAGGCCCCACCAAGTCACATACATGGCCAAGCAAGGGGGAAGAGGGATAGATGGGGAGCAGGGGAGGGGTATGAAGTGATGGGCTCAGGGCAATGGGAAGGCGGAGAGGTGGAGGGTAGGGCGAGGGGAGGGAGAGCTTACGAGGAGGAGGGAGCTGCAGACGCGAGCCATGTACTTGAAGGAAGGGCGGCTGGAGAAGTAACCCGTCCAGTAGGCCCCCTCGTGCTCATCGTAGCTGCATGTGTGTGGTGCGTGCATGGGATGGGAGAGGTACGGGGAGGGAGTCTATTCTTGAGGCGCCTCAAGAATTGGAACATGTCTCAAGGCTTGAAGGAAGGGCGGCTGGAGAAGTATCCCGTCCAGTAGACCCCCTCGTGCTCATCGTAGCTGCATGTGTGTGGTGCGTGCATGGGATGGGAGAGGTACGGGGAGGGAGTCTATTCTTGAGGCGCCTCAAGAATTGGAACATGTCTCAAGGCTTGAAGGAAGGGCGGCTGGAGAAGTATCCCGACCAGTAGGCCCCCTCGTGCTCATCGTAGCTGCATGTGTGTGGTGCGTGCATGGGACGGGAGAGGTAAGGGGAGGGAGGGTGGAGACGGGTAGGAGGAGTTATGAGACGTCTCGAAAGTAGGGCGCATGCATGGGAGAGGTGGGGGAAAGGAGGGTGGAGACGGGTAGGAGGAGATTACGTGATCCTCGGTGCTAGGGGACACAATACAGGCAGGGGAGGGCAGGTGAAGTGGACTGAAACGAGGCAAAGCGGTTGTGGCAGTTAGTTGACTGATGATTGAGTGGGTTAGTGAGTGAGTGAGTGAGTGAGTGAGTGAGTGAGTGAGTGAGGGACGCTGGGTGTGTGCTGTGTTGTCTACGACTGCGGGGAGGTCTGAGCAGGGTAGCACAGAAAGGGCAAGTGAGCGAGGGGGCGAGAATGAGCTGTGCGCTACGTAATGGAAAGCGGGACGAAGGACGTACATGTACATGCACGTGTATGTGTACGCCTTGGAATCATTTTGAAAGGCACATTTTGAGGCGCCTCAAAAAGCAGGCCGAAGGACATACATGCACTGCACATGATGATGATGATGATCCCACCATGTGAATGTGCTTTTCAAGGCGTATGTATACGTCCAAGGCGTATCATATGTACGTCTAAAAAACACATTCACATGATAGGATCATCAGGACGACGTACATGTAAACGCCTTTGAATCAGTTTGAGAGGCACATTCACATGTCATGTGCTTTATCAGCATCATGTGCATCATCAGCATCATGTGGCACTTGTGGAATCACAGCCCTTTTCACTCAACCCGCCTCAGCTACACAGCGACTTTTGAGGCACCTCAAAAAAATCAACCCGTCTCAGCTACGCAGCGGCACCAGAAGTACACCTGGTGGCGTTCGATTTGACGTCAATTATGAGGAGCACCAGTTCCGCGTAATTTCTACTCAGCGTTATTTAAACAGGCAGGCTTTCGAGGCGCCTCAAAAGTCGTCTGATGGCCTTCGAGTTGACGTCAATTATGAAGAGCACCAGTTCCGCGTAAACTTTACTCAGCTTGATTCTAACAAGCAGGCAGACAGGCAGGCAGGGAATAGGGGCAGAGAGGCAGAGAGGAGAGTGGGGAGGGGAGAGGGGGGGGCACGCACGGGAACATGTCTCCTGTTCTGGTGGGCCAGGACTCGTTGGCACGGTGCTTGGCGTCCACATACATGGCTGGGGAGGAGTAGAGCGCATTCACTCTCCCGTCCTGTGCTCACCATGCACCCATGCACCCATGCATGCACACATGCATATTTGCTCCCATGCACACACACATGCTCCCACGCATACATGCTCTCATGCACACATGCACCCATGCGCGCGCGCATGCTCACATACACATGCATACACATGCATACACATGCGCACCATGCATACATGCACACACGCATACAAGAACACCGGAGAGAGGCAGCATGGGGGAAAGAAAGGCAAGGGGAAAGAAAGGCAAGGGGAAAGTGACGGAGCGCAGGGCCAGCGGGTGAACCATCATGAGGGAAGGGGCAACAGGAGTGGAAAGGAAAACTATCACGGGGAAAGGGGGCGCATGAGTGAAAAGCCATGGAAGGGTGGGGGAGGGGAGGGGGAAGAGCAGGAAAGGGCGGATGGAGAGGCAGGATGGATGAGAGGTAGGTTGTAGATGCCCGAGTTGATGCATATGAGCTGTTTCTTGCGGGACGAGACGAGGGCGTGGGTGAGAGTGTGGCGGGGGAGGGTGTGGCATGGGTGGGGGTGGCGTGGGAGAGGGTGTGGGGTGTGGGTGTAGGAGAGGGTGTGGGATGTGGGAGTGGGAGAGGGTGTGTGAGAGGGTGCGTGAGAGGGTGCGTGAGAGGGTGTGTGAGATGGAGTATGAGAGGGAGTGTGAGAGGGTGTGTGAGAGAGGGTGTGTGAGAGGGTGTGTGAGAGGGTGTGTGAGAGGGTGTGTGAGAGGGTGTGTGAGAGGGTGTTTTAGAGGGTGTAAGAGAGGGTGTGTGAGAGGGAGTGTGAGAGGGAGTGTGAGAGGCGCACGAGGTTGACGTAATGAATGAGGGTGCATTCCTGGTTCGTGGCAGGGCCACTGTAGCAGGCACTGTTGGTGGCATGCGGGAAAACCGCATGCCACCAACATTTTGCCCGAGTCGTGCGCGACACGATTTTGGTGGAATTGACATGACATTTTTGGGACATTGCCCAATCACGCACCTGTATTTGCGCGCCAAAATTCCTGACACCAACCTGGCGTTTTATGTGTTCGTGGCAGGCTGCCATCTACAGTGGCCCTGCCACGAGCCAGGAATGCACCCTGAGTTTATCCATATTGAAGACCCATGGCATGGCAGTGCACGCATCCGAGTCTGAAAAGTTTGAGTCGACGCAAGAAGGTCTGGTCAACGGAAAAATCGGTGTGAGGGCGCGTGTGGGTGTGTGTGGGTGTGGTTGCGGTCCGTACGAGGTTGACATAGTGAATGAGCTTATCGAGGTTGGAGAACCACGGCAGTGCATCCGCGTGTGAGAAGTCCTCCCCCATGGTCCACATGATGTGATCCGTGCGGTAACTGGCCGCCTGCATGCCATGCCATGCCATCCCATGCCATGCCATCCCATGCCATGCGCTCACGCCCATGCACAGGCAGAGACATACGCATGCATGCACACATGCTTCCACACAGAGACACACATGCACAGCAACACAGGTGCAAATGATACAAGCACATGCATGCACATACTCACGCACACATACGCCCGCACAGGCACACAGATGCCCCCTCACGCCTCAAAACACCCACGCACACACACACAGACACACACGTGCAATGCAGCTGAGGAAGATGGGTAGAAGCAGCCAAAGAGGCAACCAAAGAGGCAACCAAAGAGGCAGCCAAAGAGGCAACCAAAGAGGCAGCCAAAGAGGCAGCCAAAGAGGCAGCCAAAGAGGCAGCCAAAGAGGCAACCAAAGAGGCAGCCAAAGAGGCAGCCAAAGAGGCAACCAAAGAGGCAGCCAAAGAGGCAGCCAAAGAGGCAACCAAAGAGGCAGCCAAAGAGGCAGCCAAAGAGGCAGCCAAAGAGGCAACCAAAGAGGCAGCCAAAGAGGCAGCCAAAGAGGCAACCAAAGAGGCAGCCAAAGAGGCAGCCAAAGAGGCAACCAAAGAGGCAACCAAAGAGGCAGCCAAAGAGGCAGCCAAAGAGGCAACCAAAGAGGCAGCCAAAGAGGCAGCCAAAGAGGCAACCAAAGAGGCAGCCAAAGAGGCAGCCAAAGAGGCAACCAAAGAGGCAGCCAAAGAGGCAGCCAAAGAGGCAGCCAAAGAGGCAACCAAGAAGGCAGCACAACATACTGGCCTGCACTACTCACCCACCAACCAACCATCCACCCACCCAAAACTCATCAGGCATGGCACAATTGCCACACTGCCCACCAATCCGGCCAATGATATGACCACTCAGTGTCCGTTGTAGATAACCATCCACCCCCACCCTCCCCATGCACCCAGCCAGCCACCCAGCGAACCAAGCCCCCCCCCAAATTACTTCTCACCGCACATCCCCATGCACCACACCCCCTTATTCACATCCCCCCCCCAGCTTCACCGCACCTGCTGGAGGGCCTCGTTGACGAATGCGTTGACTCGCTGCTTCACATTTGTCTCTGAGGACCAGAGGTTATCCTGCCATGCATGCCGCATGCACACCCATGCATGCACACATACACACATGCATGGACACACACACATACAGTCGCGCGCGCGTGCACACACGCGCACGCACTCGCGCGCGCACGCACACACACACGCGCGCGCGCGCGCGCGCGCACACACACACACACACGCACGCACGCACACACACACACGCACGCACGCGCGCACACACACACACGCACGCACACACATGGCATGCAGCGCGAGACACACATAACCCAAGCCACACGCACATGGCATGGAGCACATAGACACGGCATGAACGGCCTACGTGGATGCATGCATGCCACACTGGGACGTGTGGCGTGCAGAGAAAACACACATGCCATTGTGAAGGGTTTTTTAGAACTCTCGAAAACCGCACACGCCTTGTGAAGGCACTTCGCAGGGAGAAGATTGAGGAGAGGAGGCACAGGAGGAAGGACATTCAGAGAAGAGCAGGTGTGAAGTGGAAGGTTGCGGACAAGGATCAAAATTACGGCAAGAAATTCAAAAATACGCCGTATTTTTGATAGACTGTTTTTTTTTTTTTTTTTTTTTTTTTTTTTTTTTTTTTTTTTTTTTTTTTTTTTTTTTTTCCCCGTACCAATGCTCTGAAAGGTACACACTACATTAGCATAGCATAACAACAGAACAGATGGTTTCAACACTACTCGACCATTCCCACTACTACCGTACCGTCCACTACTCTTTACTTTACACCTCCTACCCTATCCTATCCTTCTCTATCTCTCTCTCCTCCTCCAACTTGTAACCTTCTCTCTTCTCTACTCATCCTCCTCCTCCTCCTCCTCCTCCTCCTCCTCCTCCTCCTCATCCTCATCCGCCTCCTCCTCTTCCTCCCCACTAGACCCGTCACTAATGTCCCAAGGATCCGCGCCATTTCGAGCCTTGGTGGGCACGTCCTCCTCCTCCCCTCCACTGCTATCCGCCGCCTCCTCCTCCTCACCCTCTTCCTCTCGCACGGATGTTGCCTTCCTCTTTCCCTTGGTAGGCTTCTTGGCCTTCCCGTTTCTCTTCCTTTTAGCGGTCTTTGGCCCCTTCTTCTTCCGCTTCCCAATGTTCCCGAATAGGTCCCAATCAATGGTGCATAGCTGCTCATTCCCCTCTCCCTCCTCGTCGTTGTCCCCCACTTCTTCTTCCTCTGCTGCTGCCGGTTCCACGGCACTCCCTTGCTGGAGGGTGCCGTTGGCCAGATCGGCATAAAGCTTCTCCCTCTGCCGTGATTTCCTATCGAAAGCATCCCTGGCCCTCCTGGCGAACGCCACCTCAGTCACATCCATCATCTTGTTGGCACTGAGGCGGTTACGGTCCCGCCTCTGCACCCGTGCAATGGCGGACCAGTAGCGTTCGACCACAGAAGACGTGACTGGCTGTGACAGCACCGTCACAGCCATCCCCATGAGCGCTCGCAATTCCCCCCCATACATCAGCCACCACTCTGCCTCCGTCAAGCGCCCACTCGCCACCAACACCGTTGCTGCCCAACGGGCATCATCGGACCCTATCAGCCCCTCTCCTTTATGAAACTGCGTCAACTGCGCCAACAGCAGCGCGCGTTATGCGACGTCTCCCCCACGGGCCTGGATCACCGCTTCCGCCCCAAGCCTTACCTCGGGATCGTTCTTCACCTCTTTGTCGTACTGATTGCGCGGGTTCAGAAGCCACCCCATAGCATGGAGTGGATTGTGGAGCTGGGAGTCCCACCTCCTTGCTATGATAGCCTTGATGGCGGCCAGAAAGGCCGGCTTGTCTTTGGCCGGCAAGAGAGCGGTGCGTTTCAGCATCATTTTGGCTGCCCATGGGGAGAACCGGAGAGCACGAGGTGAGCACAATTGGCGGGAAGGGTATACAATAGCCAGAACGTGCGGCAATTCACAGCTTACCTGCCGCCTCTGCCGCATTGTTTGTCTTCACCGTGGCATCTAGCATGAGGCCATAGATCTGGCCCATGACTAGAGCACGGGTGTCAACCACCCGCAGCACTTCATACACGGGTGTCATGAGGCGGAGGACCGCTGTCGCGCACTCCCAAAAGACCTCATCCAAGAGGAGCTGGCGGACAGCTCGCCCCTCCTCAGACCGCGCCACCGCCACCGACTCCCACTCCTCACTGATGATCATCTCCTTGAGCGCTTTCTTTACTTCCAGGATGCGGGCAAGCATGATAACTTGCGTGCCGAAGCGTGTTGCACCGGGCCGCACCAAGGACAAAGTGCTAAACAACTCGTGGAAGAGCGTGACGGCAGACGCGCTTCCCTTAACGATCATAACCACCCTGTGCACCTGGTTGAGCACTCGCCGCACAGCACGGACCCTCCCGATGTCGTGCGCCGCACAGTTGTTGAAAAACACTGCAGGAAAACCGTCCCGGAGGATGTCAGCCGCCCTACGGTTGTTGGACGCATTGTCCATGACCACCTTCTTGTCTCCAACCTCGGCGATTGAAGTCCGGATGAGGCCGGCCAAGTACTCCCCCGTCTTCTTCGCGGTCTTGGAGTCCACAGTCTTCACAATGACAGGCGCCGTGTCATTGTGGGCTATGACACACACGAGCCCACGGCTCTTCATGCAGGTCCAGCCGTCCACGGAGATGGTGCAGCCGCTAGTGTTCCAACTCTCCTTCAGGGGCCTTACAAGGTCCTCGGTATCCGCTACCAGTTTTTGAAGCAAAACACTAGAAACCCTGAAGGGGGATGGGAGGGTGTATTGTTTCCCGAAGGCAACAGCCGCATCCACGAAGTTCTGCACGGCTGACGACTTGGACGTGTGGAACGCCCAATCGTTATCAGCCACTGCAGCGGCCCATAGGTAGTCCAGTCGAGCGCGTGCAGAGTCATCCACCATGTCGCGGATGTCCCGCTGTCGAGTGCGGCGAGAGGGCTGGATGTCTAGGGTTGAAGTGGAGCCAAGGGTTGACGGAGTGGTGCTTCCAGAAAGCTCATTAGTAGCTGCTTCCTCGCGAAGTTTGATGGCGACTTCGTGGGTGCACGGCGTCACATTCTTATCTTTGTCCTTCGGCGTCCCATAGATGTGCTCTCCTATGCGTGTAGCATTAGCAGTCACGGATTCGGAGCAGTGTACGCATTTCGCCGTTAAGGTGCCGTCTGGTCTCTTAGTCGTTGTAACGTGCTGCCACAGCGGCGATTTCTGCCTCGCCATGGCGTACGTCCTGACAGGCACGAACCCTAGTGGAGCACCCTGAAGACTAAACTAGAGCAGAACTATGCTCAGAATATGATTAGGAGTGGCTAAACCGAGCTCCTAAGTACCTCGTTGTGGAAGGTGGGTGTGTTGTGTCGAGTGGGTTTTTGAAAAGGTTGAGTTCACGGGATGTATTCTGATTGGTTAGATTGGTTTCGCATCGCGACTTTTGGATGTGTCGCGACTGCGAGCGAACCAAACCTTCGCCGTGCGAAAATGTTTAACGAAAATCACGAAACGTGGGGTCGAATGGGTACCGTTCGCCACACGTTAGAATGTCGCGCCTCGGGAAATTGTTCACGTTCCGCTTTGGCGACTCATGCCAACGAGTTGGCGAAACACGTAAACTCGAAATTGGCCTCGCCAAATGCCCAAATGTCGCGACGCGAAAGAGTCGTGACATTTGCGACGCAGGAAAAAAACACATTCGTGTGTACGGTTGTGAGAAAATCACCGTTGGGAGAAATGTGCGTGTGACACTATAATTCCTGATATACACAGACCCGGTTTCAATTTTTCGGTCGAATTATACGGTCGTATTTTTGAACCAAACACAAAAAACCTCAATCCACCGTATTAAACCGTATTTTACGGTCGTATTATACGATTCCGTATTATACGGTGAAAATTCAATAATACGGTCGTAATTTTGAACCTTGGTTGCGGATAAGATAAGTCGCAGGCAGCAGGCAGCAGGCAGGCCGCAGCAGGCCATTGCATGCATTCTCTAGTCGACTTAAGTCTCAAAACACGGATAAGATAAGTCGCAGGCCGAAGGTCCTTTCACGGACGCTGAGCCTCAGCGCAAACAACCGTGACTGACCTTAACTCACGTTGACCACTTTCACTCGCGATGACCCACCTTGACTCGAGCTGGCCCACTTTGACTCGCATTAGCACACCTTGACTTCCGTGGACGCGTTGACCCACCTTGACTCCCAGTGAGTGGTCATCTGCCGGCTCCCACTTGAAGAGCTCTGGGGGATAGTAGGTGTAGCGGTCTAGGATGCCCGTGAACACCTGCCAGCGCCGTGCCGTGCACCCATGCGTGCGACGCGAGCAGGGTATGAAAAAAAAAGGGATTGCTCAAGGTGAAGGGAAGGGTTTAACACAACTCGCAACCAGCAGCAGCTACACAACTTATCAGGCATCAAGCGCGTGCTTCCTCCTCTCAATCTCCCTCACCCATCAATCGCATTCCCGTAGCACACGGGCTGCTCTCTTCCAACCCGCTCTCAAAAGTCCCCTCGCGCCTTTCACTCGCCCCACTCCTCTCCCCGCCCCGCGCACAGCCCACTCCACCCGTGCGCGTCCACGTCCCCCTCTCCCCCCCCACACCTGAGCATCGCGGCCAAAGGTCTGGGAGGCGCGCCAGAGGAACTCGGAGGTGCGCTGGTCCTTGCGGCGCCGCCCCTCCTTGATGTCCACGCGCCCCACAAACACCGCGTCCATGCCCGCCTGCCACGCGGGGGGGGGGGGGGGGGGGATCGAAGGGGAGGAACGTGGGGCGGGAGACGAGGTAGGTAGCTGGGGGCATGTGCGCGTTGAGAAGGGTGCACCCAGCCTAGCGGCGACGCCCCTCCTTGATGTCCACTCGCCCCACAAACACCGCATCCATGCCCGCCTGCCACACCGGGTGGGGGAGGGTGGGGGAGAGGGGAGACCAGGTGCAAAGAGGCAGGAGAAGGGAGAAGGGAGTAGGGAGTAGGGAGTCGACCCAAAAGTGTGCGGTGAGAGGGGAGCGCCGCTGCCGGCCCTCCTTGATGTCCATTCACCCCACTATCACCACGTCCATGCCTGCCTGCCACCCTCCCGCCCACCCCAAGGAGGGGAACGGTTTCAGTGTGTGGGGAGGGGGAAGAGTTGCAGAGAGGCAGGCATAGAGATCGGTCGGGTTGGGGGGTTTGGTGAGGCAGATGGGACGGGACAGAGAATAGGCATGGAGTGAAAAGATGGTGGGGGAAGAGGAGGGGGGAGGGAAGGGAAGGGAAGGGAAGGGGAAAAGGGCATCGTGGGGGAGAGAGAGACGAGGTAGAAAGCTCTGCCCTTGGCACCGTGAGCAGGTGACTCTGCCCTGCCCTGCCCTGCCTACCTGCAGTGCACGGTGCACCTGCATGTGAATGCTCTGGTATCATGCATGCAGCCAGCATGGAACAGAACAGCAGCGGGACGGGCGCAGGGGGTTAGGGGGCAGAGCAGAGCACGCAACTGTGTGGTGGTGAGCTGGTAGCCCCTGCATGGCGGAGATTGTTTAGGCGCCTCAAGAATCACCTCATTGCATGCGGGGGGCTGGGGGGCATGGCTCGGCACGGCACGCACCTGAGCGGTGAGCTGGTAGCCATGCGTGCGTGGCAGAGTGGCCGAAGGGGGATGACTTTTGAGCTGACTCAAAAGAGGATACGGCACGGCAGGGCACAGCGGAGTGGGGCACAGCAGGCGGCACGCACCTGAGCAGTGAGCAGGTAGCCGTGTGTAGCGGAGTGGCCAAAGGGGTCGACCTGCCAGGTGACGGTTGGCACGGCGTTGAACTCTCGCTTGAGGAAGCGGTGTCCCAGCGTCATCTGGTGTAGCATGTCCGTGTAATGCACACTCGCCTCGTCATGCATCACCCACCCACCGTTGCTGCAGAAACCAGGCATGTGGAGGAGGGCATGCGAGGGGGGTGTGGGCGGGGAGGAGAGGATGAAGCGGAGGGCCAGCGTCATCTGGTGTTGCATGTCCGTGTAATGCACACACGCCTCTTCATGCATCACCCACCCGCCATTGCTGCGCAAGATGTGCAAGGTACATAAAAGGCACATGGAAGGCGCTCGTGTGTAGGGTGGGGGGAGGCGGCAGGGAGGGGAGGTGAAGCGGTGCACCATGGACATGTGGTGCCGCATGCTGCATGTCCGTGTAATGCACACACGCCGGCCACCCGCCGGCATAGAGGGGGGAATGGAGAGTTAGGGGGAGAAGATGGGAAGGGAGGTGTGGTGAGGACACGTGGTAGTGAGCGCAGCAGGTAGGTGTGGTGGTGGTGGGCGTGCAAGGGGGCCAGAGGGAGGGGAAGGGGAGGAGAGGAGCAAGAATAGAGGGGGTAAAGGAGGGATGGCATGGCAGGGGATGGAGAAAGGAGGGTTGGTTGGAACGGAGAGAAGGGGTGCGTGCGTGCGATCATGGAGGGCAGGGCAAGGCAGGGCAGGGCAGGGCAGAAAGACGGACGTGAAGAGGAGCTGATTGTTGGCGACAAGGGTCTTGACTCGTGTGCGCATGTAGTCCGACTGCTGCTGCCACCAGCGGTAGAAGAAACCCTGTGCGCCAGCCATGCACCACACCACACACACACACGCACGCACGCACGCACACGTGCACATGTGCGCTCGCGCGCACACACACACAGCGCACGCGCGCGCTCGCACACACACACACACACGCACACACACACGCACGGGCACACACACACGCGCGCACAGACGCACACGTGCTTTCGCTGCTCTGTGCTCATGCGTCGATTTTGCGTAGCGGAGAACAAGTGAGGTAGGGTAGCCATGTGGGTGGCTGACTGCTCTCTGACTGTGTGGTGTGACTCGTGCCCATCAGTTAGTGTGTGCGTGCGTGCGTGCGTGCGTGCGTGCGTGCGTGCGTGCGTGCGTGCGTGCGTGCGTGCGTGCGTGCGTGCGTGCGTGCGTGCGTGCGTGCGTGCGTGCGTGCGTGCGTGCGTGCGTGCGTGCGTGCGTGCGTGCGTGCGTGCGTGCGTGCGTGCGTGCGTGCGTGCGTGCGTGCGTGCGTGCGTGCGTGCGTGCGTGCGTGCGTGCGTGCGTGCGTGCGTGCGTGCGTGCGTGCGTGCGTGCGTGCGTGCGTGCGTGCGTGCGTGCGTGCGTGCGTGCGTGCGTGCGTGCGTGCGTGCGTGCGTGCGTGCGTGCGTGCGTGCGTGCGTGCGTGCGTGCGTGCGTGCGTGCGTGCGTGCGTGCGTGCGTGCGTGCGTGCGTGCGTGCGTGCGTGCGTGCGTGCGTGCGTGCGTGCGTGCGTGCGTGCGTGCGTGCGTGCGTGCGTGCGTGCGTGCGTGCGTGCGTGCGTGCGTGCGTGCGTGCGTGCGTGCGTGCGTGCGTGCGTGCGTGCGTGCGTGCGTGCGTGCGTGCGTGCGTGCGTGCGTGCGTGCGTGCGTGCGTGCGTGCGTGCGTGCGTGCGTGCGTGCGTGCGTGCGTGCGTGCGTGCGTGCGTGCGTGCGTGCGTGCGTGCGTGCTGCGGCGTGCGTGCGTGCGTGCGTGCGTGCGTGCGTGCGTGCGTGCGTGCGTGCGTGCGTGCGTGCGTGCGTGCGTGCGTGCGTGCGTGCGTGCGTGCGTGCGTGCGTGCGTGCGTGCGTGCGTGCGTGCGTGCGTGCGTGCGTGCGTGCGTGCGGGCGTGCGTGCGTGCGTGCGTGCGTGCGTGCGTGCGTGCGTGCGTGCGTGCGTGCGTGCGTGCGTGCGTGCGTGCGTGCGTGCGTGCGTGCGTGCGTGCGTGCGTGCGTGCGTGCGTGCGTGCGTGCGTGGCGTGCGTGCGTGCGTGCGTGCGTGCGTGCGTGCGTGCGTGCGTGCGTGCGTGCGTGCGTGCGTGCGTGCGTGCGTGCGTGCGTGCGTGCGTGCGTGCGTGCGTGCGTGCGTGCGTGCGTGCGTGCGTGCGTGCGTGCGTGCGTGCGTGCGTGCGTGCGTGCGTGCGTGCGTGCGTGCGTGCGTGCGTGCGTGCGTGCGTGCGTGCGTGCGTGCGTGCGTGCGTGCGTGCGTGCGTGCGTGCGTGCGTGCGTGCGTGCGTGCGTGCGTGCGTGCGTGCGTGCGTGCGTGCGTGCGTGCGTGCGTGCGTGCGTGCGTGCGTGCGTGCGTGCGTGCGTGCGTGCGTGCGTGCGTGCGTGCGTGCGTGCGTGCGTGCGTGCGTGCGTGCGTGCGTGCGTGCGTGCGTGCGTGCGTGCGTGCGTGCGTGCGTGCGTGCGTGCGTGCGTGCGTGCGTGCGTGCGTGCGTGCGTGCGTGCGTGCGTGCGTGCGTGCGTGCGTGCGTGCGTGCGTGCGTGCGTGCGTGCGTGCGTGCGTGCGTGCGTGCGTGCGTGCCGTGCGTGCGTGCGTGCGTGCGTGCGTGCGTGCGTGCGTTGCGTGCGTGCGTGCGCGTGCGTGCGTGCGTGCGTGCGTGCGTGCGTGCGTGCGTGCGTGCGTGCGTGCGTGCGTGCGTGCGTGCGTGCGTGCGTGCCGTGCGTGCGTGCGTGCGTGCGTGCGTGCGTGCGTGCGTGCGTGCGTGCGTGCGTGCGTGCGTGCGTGCGTGCGTGCGTGCGTGCGTGCGTGCCGTGCGTGCGTGCGTGCGTGCGTGCGTGCGTGCGTGCGTGCGTGCGTGCGTGGCGTGCGTGCGTGCGTGCGTGCGTGCGTGCGTGCGTGCGTGCGTGCGTGCGTGCGTGCGTGCGTGGCGTGCGTGCGTGCGTGCGTGCGTGCGTGCGTGCGTGCGTGCGTGCGTGCGTGCGTGCGTGCGTGCGTGCGTGCGTGCGTGCGTGCGTGCGTGCGTGCGTGCGTGCGTGCGTGCGTGCGTGCGTGCGTGCGTGCGTGCGTGCGTGCGTGCGTGCGTGCGTGCGTGCGTGCGTGCGTGCGTGCGTGCGTGCGTGCGTGCGTGCGTGCGTGCGTGCGTGCGTGCGTGCGTGCGTGCGTGCGTGCGTGCGTAGCGTGCGTGCGTGCGTGCGTGCGTGCCGTGCGTGCGTGCGTGCGTGCGTGCGTGCGTGCGTGCGTGCGTGCGTGCGTGCGTGCGTGCGTGCGTGCGTGCGTGCGTGCGTGCGTGCGTGCGTGCGTGCGTGCGTGCGTGCGTGCGTGCGTGCGTGCGTGCGTGCGTGCGTGCGTGCGTGCGTGCGTGCGTGCGTGCGTGCGTGCGTGCGTGCGTGCGTGCGTGCGTGCGTGCGTGCGTGCGTGCGTGCGTGCGTGCGTGCGTGCGTGCGTGCGTGCGTGCGTGCGTGCGTGCGTGCGTGCGTGCGTGCGTGCGTGCGTGCGTGCGTGCGTGCGTGCGTGCGTGCGTGCGTGCGTGCGTGCGTGCGTGCGTGCGTGCGTGCGTGCGTGCGTGCGTGCGCGTGCGTGGTGCGTGCGCGTGTGGGTGCGCGTGTGGGTGGGTGTGTGGGTGTGGGTGCGCACGCAGGTGCGCGGGAGAGAGCGCACCTGTTCCACCTGCACGAACTTGCGGTGTGGGTTCACCTCCAGGTTCGCCACCACCGAGTCTATGATGCTCGCCACCTTCTCCGCCTGTGCGCAGGGGAGGGGAAGGCGGCACCCGCCGGGGGGGAAACGGGGAAGGGGGCGAGGAAGAAGGGAGGGGAAGGAAGGGGGGGAATAGAGGGGAGAGGAAGAGGAAAAGGGGGAAAGGAGAGGGAGGGGGTGTGAAAGGGCGGTGGTAAATGTGCTGGTTCGAAATCGCCATCACGTTCATCTCAGGAATCGCATCGCGCCTCCCGGGTATGCCACCTGCGCAGAAATAATAAAACAAATATATAAGAACGAAGAGCGGGTGAGAGGGTGAGCCATGGCAGAGGGTGAGGGGAGAGGGGAGAGGGTGAGAGGGGAGAGGGTGAGAGGGGAGAGGGTGAGTGCGGGGGGGGGGGGTTAGCGAAGAGCGGCAGGCGCAGCACCGCGATAGTAGTTAGGCTAGCAGTACTACCCCAACTAATGCGACAAATGGAACCCGTTGCGTCGAGTCGCATGCGTCGTCAGCCCACACGTTCACGTGCGTCAAATCGCGGAGCACACCTGCCCAGCAACTGCCATCGCGGCAAGGTCACCAGAAAGCGTCGCTTTTCGCGGAACGCCGCTGCGAGCATCGTCCGCGTTCGGTTCGGCGGGACGTCCGGCAAGCCTTGGAATTGACTGGAGGGATGGAGTCAGCACAACCGTCGACTCGGCGGTGATAGCGCGGCGCGGGGCGTCACGTGGTAATGAGGTGGAGAAATTATGGCACTGTGACTGCCTCGATAATCGTCACGTATAGTGAGTGAATAAATTATCTCTGGCCGGAAAGCTTCTCGTTTTTAAGCTGTATCGCAGAAAAAAAAAAGCCTACTAAAGACCGCGGTTCGTGGCGCTCAAGCTACTTGATGCGGTACCGTCCGCAATTCCCGGCGGCGGCGCGGCGCGCACATAGTACTGATCGACGGTCGAGAGCCACCCCATATCGTCGTGCGAGTGCGCCACGATGTGCACGTTAAGCTTGCCCTCCGACACTCCCGCGCTCGTGTTGTACCCCACGTGACGCGCCGCCATCAGCCCTGGCAACACGTCGCCCCCGCCATTCCACCCCCCACGAGCCACGTCCAGACCGCCTTTTTCCGCCGCCGCGTCCTCCGCCGCATGCGCGGAATTGTCTCCGTTGCTGTCGTTGTAGTAGTTGCGGAAGTATGCGGCGGGCGGCGTGCCGCCGAAACCGCCGGCTACGGTGGAGGTGAGGTGCTGGTGGGCGAATAGGAGAACGACACCTGTCACAACGCCGATTACGAACGTGGGGGCGTGAAAAGTAACGCGTGCCTGCCACTGCGCGGCGGACAACGGGGCAGTCATTTGTAGTACCGCTGCTGACGCTAATGCGACTATTTATTTACAACTCATCAACTGCGATGGTATGACGGTGAATCATGAAGGATTGCCTCGGCTGGGACAGTTGAACAAAACCTGAAATGGGAATACTGACGACAATCAAGCTTCATGTCTCAGTTTGGTCTGGACCGAAAGCAAAGGTGGCTCTGTTTTCTTGACGGGTCGCGGACGACAGGTCCAGACCTGAGCCCCCCAACGTGTTCCGAAAATGCAGCTCAGAAATGGTGATCCGTACAGAAAATATCTGGAATGCCGGGTGCATCGTTGTGAACTGCGAAGACGAAAAATCGGGACGGGATGCTGTTGCAAAAAGCGAAACCTTGCATTCTGTTAAGAGTGCAATTGAGTGAACTAACTAGAATTTCACTATCTAAGCAAGAATCCAATCAGCTAAAGCATGAGCGAAGAATATATAGCGAAACTACAGTGGTAACGGTAATGGACTGTGGTTGTCGCGCGACGGGCCTGGGACTGAGGTTGGGAAAATGTGTCGAAGCGGAGGCCCCCCGGGGCGCGGGTTACCCGCCGAGCGGTGAGGTCGGGGTGCGATGTGCGAAGGTGGCGGGCGGATTGTCGATGCGAGGGTTGCGAGTGGTAACGGTGCTGACTGTGGTGCTACAGTGATGTACGTGTTGAACAGAGATGCGAAGTAAGGAAAAGGAATTTTCCTTACACATTCCGACAGTCCACTCCAAATTGCGCGTTTTGAAATGTGGTGACGCTTTTGTTGTTGTTTGCGACACTTCACATCAAGGGCAGAGTGACTACGGTACGTACAAATGTCTTCAAGTTACAAAAGATCGGCAGTTGTACTGTATGTACAGTCACCTGTCTTCTTCAGTTCACAGCCCCCGCAGCTAGGGAGGGAGGTGAACGGGTGGGCGCGACTGGGTTATATATTGCACTGCCTGCGTCAGCAGACAGTGCAATGAGTCAGCGGGCAAGAAAAAAAAAAAAAAACCCCATCAGAAGGCATGCCATTCAGCTGGATTTTCTTTTCGGAAGTACATCCGGCTTAGCAACAGACCCGTCGATCCAGAGAAAAGGCCTCGCTATGCGTGGTGATTATGTGTCGCACCCCGTCGAAGTTGAAGGGTTGGTTTCAGGCCCATACTGATTTGTTTGGCTTGATTCTGGAGGTTTTCTTGAAGTTGTGTTTCAACGACTCTCAAAACCAGATCCTTAATGAGAGCTAATCTAGAAGCATTAACCCAACATCACCGCCTCCCACGTTGGTGTACAGTCGGTGCCCATTTCAAGAACACCAGGTAGGCGGACGGCATGTGCGTGAAACGAGTTTGAGTCGTTTCGCCTCGTTCGTCCTTGTCGCCACGGGCAAAAATGTGACTGTAATATGAAATTGCAACGTGAATCGAGTCAAGGGTTTTAATTTCAAGACCAGGTTAACTTCTCTGATGACGGGCAACCGTTGTTGTTTTTGAACTGTAGATGTTTTTCTTCCTCAACTTGGTGACTGTACCCTGAAATCGGCAAAATGGTCACTCACGGGCAAAACACTCGCGAGTGACTAAATTTCTAATTATGCAGGAAAATGTTTTGTGATAGGCTGAGCATCGACTGTACCCAACTGCACCGTTACCACTTGCTACACGCGCATTGACCACTGTTTCAGCCACTGTTCACGACGTGACCCAACGTCACGGGCCGGTTGGTAGCCCGCGCGTCGGACCTCCGCATCGAGATTTCCCAATCTCGACACTAGGCCCGTATCGCAACTCATCGGTGTAAAAAATTCTTCCTGGGCCCGACAGCTGTGCAAGGAATTTGAATCGACAATCGGCCTGCCCCGATTTCACCTCCACCGCACACCAACTGGGCAAGCCAAGTACAGCCGCACCACACCACCTTTCCATTACAAGCATGCTACTACCGTAAATCCCCATATTTGTGAGGGGTCAACCGCATATACTGTACATTACATGCCTTCATCGCAACGTTTGAGATTTCCTTGACCGAGTAAGTGTGGGCTGCTTTTGCCAACGGATCCTGAAGTGGCCCAGCTAGTTAGCTGATTCAGTTCCGAAAGATGAGATTCTGGGATCAAATCCCCCTGCGGCGTAAAAACCCTCAAATTGCGGACCGCGAGGGTCAAGTTTTTAAAACTTGAAGTTGAGTGTCCAAGCTTTTGAAAGTCACGCACCTGCAATTTGGGACTTATAAAAAACTCCCTCTGGTCAACTTTTAAAAGCATGAACAACTTGGGCCGCCGGTTTTAACAGCCAGTCCCCACTAAAAGGGACTACACATGTGCTCATCTGGGAGTGGATAGAACAACCTTGTTACCCAGCGAGGCGTGTAAACACATGGGGAAGCGGGTTATGACCGTCAGCCGGGGTAATACCAAAGGGGGTTTCCCCTATAACTTTACTTTTCCTTTACTTTGCTGCTGTTGCTAACGGGATGGAATTTTAGCTGGGAAAGGCTCTGTTCACGGATAGGGCATCATGTGTACAACAACCGTGGATATATGCAATGTACCGGTGTAGTGCATTTCATATTGCAAAAACAAAACATCTTCACATCGGTCTGTTGTGAATGCTTTTCCTTCAGATGTCCATTGATTTTTTGACACATATTTTTTTTTTCATCCAACCATCTCATGATAAAAGATGATGGCATGGGTGAAATTTGACAGCCCCTAAGAACTGCGTAACTGTATTTCTTTACAATATGCCATGCCAGTCGAGTAAAAATGAATTTCTAAAAAAAAAAAAAGTAGGAATCCTGTTACTCCTGCTGCCATTGCCACTAGTGCTGCTGCTGCAACTACTACAAGCCCTGGCTCACCTCAACTCAAAGAGCTAAACCAGGCTCCATATCCTACCACATACTATTCCACCACTCCCACTGCCACACCCTAGTTGGTCGCTCCCCCTGCGCACGGCAGCCAGCACATACTCCAGCTCCTGCACTCGGCTCAGCAGCAGGTCCCGGTCTGCCAGCTCCTTCTGTGCCCACCCAGCTACTGAAAGTAAAACTGCGCCCACGACAGGGACTGTGGCTGCGACTGCGACTGCGATTGCTATCCATTGACTCGCCTCACGAGGCGTCCGCTCACACTCACACTACTCCACCGCACCCCCTTCCCCCGCTCCCCCTGCGCCTGCAGCAGGCCCTAGCACGGCAGCCAGCACATGGTCCAGCTCCTGCACTCGGCTCAGCAGCAGGTCCCGGTCTGCCAGCAGCTGCTGCAGTGCCGCATGCTGCTGCTGCGCTGCTGCCTCCACTGCTTCCACTGCCGCTGCTGCCCCCACCGCACCTGCTCCTGAGCCTGCTGCTGCTGTAGCTGGTTCTGAGGGCTGCTGAGAAGTTGCGGCCTTGAGAGACGCTATGGCAGTGGTAAGCTGGCCGTGGGGAGAGGAGAGGGGGGAAGGGAGGGGAAGGGGGGGATGAAGGAGTGGGACACTGGCTGTCACACCATGGCAGAACATGCACAGTGACAGCCATGGCATAACACACTGCGAAAACTTATTACTACAGCAGATCCTGGGAAAACATACCACGCACCACAAATCCCACAACCCATACCCCACACCACACACAACACACCACACATCACACACCCCACACCCCAGTCACCCTCGCCTCGCCCACACCCGCCACTCACCCTCTCGCACACTGCCGCCACTTGTTGTGCCCTTGGGTCATCCGATGCCGCTACCCCTCCTCCTGCCCCCACTCCTGCTCCCAAACCCTCCGCTGCAGCAACAGATGAAGCCCCAGCAGAAGGCCCAGCAGCACCCGCAACAACAGCAGCAGCAGCAGCAGCAGCAGTGGTAGCGGCAGTGGTAGCAGCAGCAGCCGTGGCAGGTGTGATAGTGGGAGCAGCATGGCGCATGGCAACAGTCACACCGAGCAGACAGTCTGGGTGGTCAGCACCAGCTAGGGGGAGCCAACTGCATCGTGGTGACATGACATGGGTGGGGAGGGAGGGAATCGGTTGGAGGAAGGCGTGGCGTCGGGGTTAATATGAGTAGAGGGTATCTCCTCAAGAACAAAAAGGCTTGAGGTGCAAGAGTGGGAGTGGAGATTCGGAAACAGTGATTCTCAAACAGGAAAAGGGAACGGCTACGTCTAAAGCAGAGAGTAACAAACGATGAACAAGAAATGGACAAATAAGAGCAAGCAACTTATCCATCTCTCCATTCTCCTCCACTCATCTATCCCTTCTCGAATTGCGCTTCAAGATACTAGCTCAACCACACAGGCGTGCCCGCACGCGCACGGGCGCACGCACACACACACACACACACACAGAAACCATCACATGCCGCACTGCCCACACCAGCACAAGCAACTCACAACTCCTGGGAGGACCCCGGGCGCAAGCCGCTATAGTCCACACGGCACGACCCGAGGGGGAGGGTGGTGGAGAGGGCGAGAGCAAGGCCGTGGGGCTCCTTGACTGTGACCTCGAGGTCCTCTCCCGTGTCTGGCAGGTCAAAGAGCGCTTGCCACTCTGGTGCTAGACTGCGATGCACCACCTGGTGGGGGGGAGAGGGGGAGAAAGAGGGGGAGATGCAGCGGAGGAGAGAGGGGAAAATGCTGGGCACCCGAGGCAAAGGACGGGTGAAGAGTGACGGTCCCACCCACTCCAGCTCTGCACCCCGCCCTCCAGCCAGCTACGTGAGATACCCAGCTTCCCACTCGCCCCTCACGCCATGCATGCATGCATGCATGCACCCCTTGATGCCTCTGTCGGTGGTGCTGATTCGAGTCACGAGTGAGTTTCGTCAATCAACTCACAGGGCCAGTCCCAAGTCGCCTCACGCCGTGCACACACCTTGGTGGGATTGACGTTCACTCAAAGCGCACACCATACAAGTGAACTCACTCACAGGCCGCCTCACTCACGCTCTGCACGGCACGACACGCACCTTGGTGCGCCTCTTGGTAGTGCCATAGCGCACGGTGGCGTATGTGTTGGGTGCCTTGCCCTTGGCGGCCACGACAATGGGGTGCGCTCACACTTCACTCATAGCCTGAACACACCACATGCGCCAAGGCCCGCCTCATTCAGCGTGCACACTGCATGCACGCACCTTGGTGCGCCTCTTGGTAGCGCCATAGCGCACGGTGGCATATGTGTCGGGTGCCTTGCCCTTGGCGGCCACAACAGCAGGGTGCGATGCCAGTCCACGCACGCCCACCACTGTCACCTGCAGCCGCCGCGATGACACTGCACGGTCCTTGCGTGACAGGGCCTGATGGGAGAAGAGGAGGGGAGGGATGCGCCAGGGGGTGTAGGGGAGAGGGGAGGAGACGAGTATGGAGGATAGAAGTTGGCGTTTTTTAGGCGCTTCAGGAGTAGACCCCTGCACGCGCCCACCACCGTCACCTGCAGCTGTCGCGATGACACGCATGGTCCTTGCGCAACAGGGCCTGGTGGGGAGGGAGGTGGGGGAGAGGGGGTTAAAGGGGATTCATCATATTATCAGGGCAGGGACCTGGAAAAACGTGCTCACACAGTGCAGTCCTTGCACAGAAAGTGATATACTAGGTTGGGCGGGTGTCAACACCAATTGGCGACTGTGGGTCTGTACAGAACATAGGATCATTTCTAGGTGAGTATTCGAGCTCAGTGCTGTACAGGGACGTTAAGGGTTGAGCCTGTTTACAACACACCGTACCCCCCAAGAATGAGTGGAGCGAGAGAAAGGGAAGGGGACGAACCCTGAGCACACTGCTTGGCCGCTTGCCAGTACCGGTGCTGCCATCCACTCCCGGCCCACCATCCACTGCCACTCCCTCTCCCCCTCCTCCTCCTCCCACTGCTGCTTCTGCTGCTGCGCCTGCCTCCAGCCCCTGTGCGTGCGGTGGCTCGAGAGCCAGCATGAGGTGCACGTCCCCTGAGCCCCCCACCCCGCCCATGGGCAGCCACAGCCCCGCATCGCCCTGTAGCGCTGCCGGCTGGGCATGGGGGGAGAGGGGAGGGACGGCAGGGATGGGATGAGGAGGGACGGGAGGGATGAGGGATGGGAGGGACGGGAGGGACGAGGGATGGGAGGGATGGGAGGGACGGGATTATTGAAAGAAAGCAGGGAAGAAAGGGAGCCATTGGAGGGGTGAAGTTGTTACACAGACAAGCCAGCCAACACTTGTGAACACAATCGCACTCGATCGCCCATTTGCATGCTACAGAAGCGCACACGTGCAGAGACGCACAGCGAAGGCCCAGCCCAGACCAGACCAGGAGCAACGTGAGCGTGCATGCGTGAACGGACCTGGAGGAAGAGAGAGGCGTGGCCGAGGGAGATGGGCGACCAGGGAGCGAGCGAGGAGAAGGCGAGGCAGCGCACGTGCAGCAGGGGTGCCGCCCCCGCCACCTCGCGCAGCTGCAGCGCGTCCCCCCACACGGGGTTGGTGTCTGGAATGGCCCTCGTGCGCACCCTTTGCTGGGAGAGGGAGCAATGGGGGTTGGTGGAGAGAAGCTTTGAGTTTTGAGCTTTGAGCTTTGAGTTTTGAGTTTTGAGCTTTGAGCTTTGAGTTTTGAGTTTCGAATTCTGAGTTTTGAATTTTGAGTTTTGACTTTTGGACTTTGAGCTTTGAGTTTTGGGTTTTGAGTTTTGGGTTTTGCGTTTTGAGTTTTGAGTTTTTGGTTTGGGGTTTGGGTTTCGGGTTTTGAGTTTTGAGTTTTGGGTGGACACAAAACGCAGCAGCAGCGCGTCCTCCCCCCACGGGGTTGGCGTCTGGTATGGCCCTCGTGCGCACCCATTGCTGGGAGAGCGGAGGGGCCACAGGGGTTGGTGATGGAGGGGAACGGAGGGAGGGGATGAGAGTGGAGAACAGGGTTTTCAAAAGGAAGGGGTAGGGGTGGTTGGAACTGAAGCACAATGACGAACGGAGCAGATGAAGAAGAATGATAGACAAAGAAAGGAGGTTGAGAGAAGGGAGGGACAAGGGGGAGGGGGAGCAAGGAAGGGGACACAGGTAGAGGTAGGGGAGGGTTGGGATTTGTTACACATGAGTACTTCCCAGTGCTCTGGTTAACCTCCCCACTCACCCCCTCTCCCTTCTCCCTTCTCACTCGCTTCCCCGCCATATTCTCTCTCCCTCACTGTCCCCATCTCTCAGCCACTGTGCCCCCACCCCACCCAACTCATCCCAACCTCCCCCCACTCGCCCCCATCGTACCTTGCCATATTCCACCTCCACCACTATCCCCGGCACTCCTCCCCCTGCGCCCTTGCCCCCCATGCCCACGCCCGTTGCTCTCCCATCCCTGCTCTCCCACACGCGCCGGCCCTCCACCACTGTCACTCGGATGCTGCGCCCCGTGAACGAGGGGGGCGCGGGTGGCAGGGCGGGCGGAGAGGAGGACGACGAGGAGGAGGAGGCGAGAAGGGAGGGGACGAGGTGCGGAGGAGGGAAGAGGGATGGTGGAGTGAAGGGGAGTGAGGGAGTGGGGGAAGGGGTGGGCAGCCAGGAGGGTGGAGAGAGGCGAATGCGGATCTGAGAGAGGGAGAAAATGTGGGATGGGAGAGGGGGCGAGAGAGATAGAGGGAAGGAAAGGGATGAGTTGGAATCCAAAGTTAACGGGGGAGGAACGCATGGAACGCGTGAGGAGGTAACGGGGGATGACGAGGGGCAGGGGACAACGGATAAAGAGACATGCGACCACAGAAAGCCGGCTCTTTGTAGAATGCGCAATAGGAAGTCGGCTCGGCTGTTAATGGAGAAGTAGAAACCTCCCGTGTGTGCATTGTTCAAACATGTAAAGTGCAGAGGGACGAAGGAGCAGAGAGAAGCTCGGCAGAAGGAAGCGCGGGAGGATAAATGGACGGAGGGAGGGAGCAGGGAGGGAAAAGGGAGACAGGGAGAATTGTTCAAGCACGCCTAGTGCAGACAGACTAAAGAGCAGATGGAAGGTCAACAGAAGGGAGGGCGGGAGGGTGGATGGAAGGAGGGAGAGAGCAGGGAGGAAAGAAGGGGGGAGGAAGAGGGTGGGTGCCCGCGGAAGAGGGGAGGAGTACGGTAGGCGAGAGGGCTGAAGTGGTCTCACAGATCCCGAGGTAGACGGGTAGTCGAGGGCGAGGGAGATGGTGACAGGGCGCAGGGAGGAGGGCGAGAGCGGCACACGGCGCACTACAGGCAGGCGGTGCGGACCCATGCCCCACAGCACAGCATAGGGGGTGGCGTCCCCTGCGCTGCCATCCACTCCCGTATACGCCACCTGAGGGAGGGAGGGAGGGAGGGAGGGAGGGAGGGAGGGAGGGAGGGAGGGAGGGAGGGAGGGAGGGAGGGAGGGAGGGAGGGAGGGAGGGAGGGAGGGCATGCAGGAGAGGGTTGGAGGGAGAGAGAAGGAGAAATCAGAGCAGCAGAGGCAGCAGGGGGAGGTTGCAGGAGGGGGAAAAGTGGGGTCAGGGTGGAGAGGGGGGGGTTGGAAGGAGAGAATGATCAGTGCAGCAGAAGAGGGCAATGTGGACGCTGGTAGACGTGTGCACACAGAGGCACAGAGAGGCACATTGAGGCACAGGCATTTGAACGGTTGTGAGCAAGTAGGCTGGTAGTTGAAGGGGAGAGGAGAAGGCAAGCTGTCTCACGTGCAGCTGTGCTGTCCCGAGCACCACACAAGAGGCCACACCCACAGCCCCACCACCACGATCCCCTCCGCCTCCTCCTCCTGCTGTTGCTGCTACTGCTGCTGCACCATCGGCAGCGACAGCAGCAGCTGCTGCAGCCACTTTCCCGGAGAGCTCGCAGACTGTGAGAGTGAGGGAGAAGCGTGGCCCATTGCCCCACAGCAGCATCGCGCCCTCCTCCCCTCCTGCCACCGCTCCTGCCACCGCTCCCCCTCCTGCTGCACCTCCTTCCCCTGCATCCCCAGCAGCAGCAGCAGCTGCAGTAGGTGCGGAGGACCACATGGGGTTTCGGCCTGAAGTGACGCTGGGCAAGGAAGCTCTACGTATATCCCCACACTGCACCTCCACCACACATGGACCCACCACTGCCCCCCTCGCCTCCTCCCCTGCAGCCCCTGCCCCTGCTTCTGGCAATGGCGCTGGTGCCGCTGCAGCATTAGCAGCGGCAGCAGATGGAGGAGGCGGGGCGTTGCTAGGAGAATCAGATGGTTGGACGAGATTGGAGGCGGAGAGGAGGGAGAGCGAGAGGTAACCGCCCACAACGGAGGGGAGGGGAGCGGGGAGGAGTAGGGGAGGAGCGGGGGAGAGGGAGGGAGGAGGGAGCGTGAGGGGTAGCAGCTGCTTGACTGGGTCAACAGCATGGGCTGCAATGTAGGACGAGAGCACTCGCGTCTGCACGTGATGGGCAATGGTATGGGAAGGTGAGGGGAGGGGGAGAGGGGGGGGGGCGGAAGGAACAGTGTGTGAATATGAGGAGGAGGAGAGAACAGGGTGGGTGGAAGGAGGGAGGAAGGGACGGAGGGGTATTGTTGGGGGAAGAAGAGGGAATGGGTGTTTGGCTGGCCAGAGTTCGGGAATGGATGATAGGTGAGCAAGGAACGATAAGCATGGCGCTTGGTGACCAATGAACAAGGATGTGAAAGGAAGGATGGGAGGGCGGAAAACCAGGTCAACAGATGTGCACTTGGGGGTACCCTCACCACCCACTCCCATCCCTCCCATCCCTCCCATCCCCTCACCATCCATCCCCATCTCTCACCTCACCAGCCACCCCCATCATGCCCCTAACCACCCACCCTCATCCCTCCTCTCACCACCCACCCTCATCCCTCCTCTCACCACCAACCCTCATCCCTCCTCTCACCACCCAACCTCATCCCTCCTCTCACCACCCACCCTCATCCCTCCTCTCACCACCCCTCCTCACCACCCACCCCCACCCCTCCGCTCACCACCCACCCCCACCCCTCCGCTCACCACCCCCCCCCATCCCTCCGCTCACCATCCACCCCCATCCCTCCGCTCACCATCCACCCCCATCCCTCCGCTCACCATCCACCCCTATCCCTCCGCTCACCACCCCCCCCCATCCGTCCTCGCACCAACGCCCCATCCGTCCTCGCACCAACGCCCCATCCGTCTCACCAGGCAACCCCATGCGGCCCCTCTCACCAGCCAGTCGTCGAAGCCGGCGATGAGGAAGAGCGCGGCGTCGGCGTTGGTGTGGTGGTGCAGGGCGAGGGAGAAGGACACGGCGGGCGGGCGCACAAACGACCACAGCAGCGCGCCGCCATTGCACACCGGCACCACGCGCACCTGCCGTGTGAGGCGATGACGGGTGGTGGGTGGGGTTGGTTGGTGGGAGGGCAAAGGTTTGTTTGTCGGAGAGAAGACGAGAGGGAGTGGGTTTAGTGAAGGACGGGAGGGAAAGAGAGAGAGAGAGAGAGAGAGGGAGGGGGAGATGGAAAGGTAGAGGGAGAGGGAAGTGTGAGTTATTCCGGTGTTAGATTATCAAGCGCTGTTTCCCAGCATCAATGAGCCATGCGAGGATGCTTTTAAGAACGTACCAACCTCGGAATCATGCAACCACTGTCTGACTGGCAGTCAGTCAGACAGACAGACAGACAGACAGACAGACAGACAGACAGACAGACAGACAGACAGACAGACAGACAGACAGACAGACAGACAGACAGACAGACAGACAGACAGACAGACAGACAGACAGACAGACAGACAGACAGACAGACAGACAGAGAGACAGACAGACAAACAGGCATGGGCTTGACAAACCGAGTGAATCACTGACCGTGCCGGCAACAGCGACGTTAGATATAGCCAGCTGGATCTTGAACCCGGCGGGAGCCACAGAGGAGGAGGAGGCGAGGGAGTGCGGCGTGCCGTGCTGTGACGAGGAGAGCGACGAGGAGGCGGGCAGGAGGGAGTGCGAGGAGGAGGAGGGGAAAGGGGCGTCTGAGGCGAAGTGCACTGCCAGCACCACAGACAGCCCGCTGCTGCCCCACCGCACGTCCACATTCAGCCCTTGCTCCTCCTCCCCCCCCTGCTCCCCCTGCGTGTGCTCGTTCCCACGCTCACTCTCGTGCTGCTCACGCTGTTCCCTTGCGCCCTCCGTCCCGCCCTCTCCTTCTCCCCCTACTACTCCTCCTCCCCCTCCTCCTGCTAATCCACCACTGGACTGCCCGTCAGCCGTGAGCCCAGCAGCAGCAGCAGCAGCGGCACCCCCATGGCGGGCAGTTGAGTGGGTCTTGTGCGGCTGGCGCGTTGACCAGAACAGGCCGAGGGGACCCACTTGCGGCGCTGCGTCTCCGAAATCCATCTCTAGAATCTCCACTGATTGCTGCATGGCGGGAGCGAAAGGGGGAGAAAGGGGGAAGGGAGGGTGGGGAGGGGTGGGGCGTGGGGGGAGAGGAGAAGAGGAGGAGAGACGGAAGAGATAGAGCAAGAGATGAAAAGGAAGATGGGAAGAGTGCACTGGGTGAATGGAGCAAGCAGGGGATTGGCAAGGCCAAGCACGACTCACTCACTCCAAAGAGGATTTTAGGAATGACTCGATGTGTGAGGGTCTCTCTCTCACGAGGTACCACATCGTGCGGTTCGTCAGTCGACTAGTAGTTATTACAGCTTGTTTTGCCCTCACCACACGCCCCCCACTCACCACACGCCCCCCACTCACCACACGCCCCCCACTCACCACACGCCCCCCACTCACCACACGCCCCCCACTCACCACATGCGGCGGCACATCCTTGTCCATGATGCTCTGTTGGTGGGGGCAACGCATACCCGGGCAGAGGAGAGAGGGCAGGCGAGGGTGAGGACAGAAAGCCACGGAATAGGTACTACAACGGGGACTGTACGCGTGTAAGGGTGTGGTGAGGCCGCTTGTGTTTCAGAGGGAGGACAACGAGCATACAGTCAAGTGTTCTGCGAGCAGTCACTTCTTATCTCACCTTCACAGCATGCCAGCTCACCTGCACGGCATGCCAGCTGGACAGCATGTCAACTCACCTGCATGGCATGTCAGCATGGCAGCTCACCTGCATGGCGGCCTGCGTGGCGGCGAGAGAGCGGGGGTGCAGCACGTTGGGCCAGAGCAGCACGAGCAGCTTGTTCAGCCAGTCCGCAGGCTCACGCGCTGACACCGCCTGCCGCCACCCCGCATACGGGGTGGGGGGGAGGGGGGGGGCGGAGGGGGGTTAGGAGCGGGCGAGGAGAGGGAGAAGGGTGAGGGGAGAGGCGGGGAGGGGAGAGGCGTGGAGGGGAGAGAGGGGGAGGGGAGATGCTGGGAGGGGGAGGATGGGAGGGGAGAGGAAGGGAGGGGAGGCGGGGAAAGGAGAGGCGGGGAGGGGAGAGGTCGAAAGGGGAGACGCGGGGAGGGACGTGGTGAGAAAAAGCGATAGATAGAAAGGAGAGAGGCGGGCATAGGGTACCATTGCAATGGGGACGGAAGGTGCATTGGGAAGAGTGGAAGGGACTTGGTGGGGGGGAAGGGGGGTGTTGGGGAGCCGGGGAAAAAGGGGAAGAGGGTCAAAGCGTAGAGGCGAGAGGAAAGATGATGCTTCCTCTCCGACCTACCCCTCCTATCTGCTCCTACTGTGGCGGCTACGATCTACCCACCCATCCCCATCCAGCAGGGCCCTGCCAGGGCGTATGGCGTATGGAGTACGGCGTACCAGGTCCCTGAGAAGCTTCTGCTGCCACATCTCCCTGCGCTCCTCCTCCGCCCGCCGCTCATCGTGCAGCCTGCGCTGCTGCTGCTCCCCTCGCACGCTCTGCACAGCGCACGCACGCACGCACACATGCACAAACGCGCACATGCACACAATGCACACATACACGCACCCACGAATCCATTCATGCACAAATGCACAAATGCTCGCACGCATGGACAGACACCACGCGCGTCCCGCAAATCGCGCGAGGGGAAAAGGAAAGGGGAGGGCGAAACAGGGGTATAAGGTGAAACAGAAAACGCCTGCGCGTGTTCACAAGCACGCAACTACACGCCAGAATAGGTTCGAAAGGGGAAGGCCCAGACTGGGAGTCCGAGCCAGCACAGCACGCGAATCGGATGCGCGGCGCTACGAACAATCGTGCTCAGCGATACATTGCATCGCCGTTAGCCCTACCAACAACCACAGCCGGATCACCGGCTAGCCTTGCAGAGCGCTCTTCGCTGGAGGGCACAGTTTTTCACCTCTTTTTTTTCACTCCCCCATAAAATGTCCGCGTGGCGGCCGCGCGCCGGGGGCGGTTGAGGCTCTAGAGTGCACATCTGAGACTGTAGTGCTTGGTGAGCAGCGGCAGCACTTTGGGTATCTACACGTCAGGCCCACGTGTCGGGCGCGATAGCTGGCAGCACGGGAAGGACTCGAGAATGGCAGACTCTTGGCGCGATAGCTGGCAAATCCTTCTGAGTCATATCCACGCTACAGCAGGTCCGAACCTACATGCTCGCATGGGTGCTCCGTGCAAATGCGTTCTACAAGTGATGCATTCTTGAAAGGACGCGGCGCGCAAATGCGTTCTACAATGCCGAACCTTGCGCGACATGCCATTTGCAGGCGGCGTCCGGCATGTGCGTCTGGCGAGCAGCAAAGGTGACTCTCAACCAGGCGGTAGCCGTTAGGCAGACTAACGGCTGACAGGCAGCGGCTGGGAAACAGTTGCGGACAGCGCAGTTGTCGGCAGAAGTTCTTGCTGCAGAGGCAGAAACGCACACGCATGCTGCGCAGACGCAGGTCTCATGGGTCTTCAGCGTGCATTGCGGAAGCGTAGGTCTCGTTGTGAATAATACGACATGCTCGAAGTCCTTAAATAGGCAAGCTAGGCGTTCTTCTGGGAATGCGACCAGGCGAACAGAAGCCAAGGCTAACCATCTGCTATGCTCTCCGCCACTCACGTGATGCCACATCATCGTCATTGCCAAAAACGCCACGATCCACGTCAGCGGCACCCGTCCACCGAGATACCACTCTGCAGCCGCCGCCGCTGCACCGAGCAGAAGCAGTGCGGGTAGGGGGAGAAATGGCCCTGCGGGTCGGGCGCGAAACAAGGCGGAAACTTTCCTATCGGCCATCGTGCCGGCCGTGATTAATCAGCCTGCCGCGCTCAGTCGGCACGCGCGGCGGAAAGTACGGGTCGGACAAAAGCCCAGAGCGACATGTAATGGAGGTGGAACCTAGATCCGACCCTTCTTTTCGCAGGAGACAGCAAAGAAAGGAAAATGAACGAAGAATCAAGCTACTGCTGTGCTGTGCTGAAATTTGAAGCGGGAGAGACATTGGAAGGTGGTCGGTCACTCCCTATGTCAGTGTCAGACTGATTTGATTGGCTGGATGAATGAGGTGGAGGAGGCACTGCACAAACGATGGGAGACCCACGAAAATGGAAAAATATAAACGGCCATTTTCAGGTGCATGCAACTTAGTCTAGAAACTGTAATCAAGTGCAGGCCATGCATGTATTCGGCAGGCGTGTACACTCTACGCAGCTTAGAAACGTGTTATCTTACAATCACGCACTTCCCAGGATTCGTTTCGAGCTAGCACAGACAGTCGAGAATATGGGTAATTTCGGATTACGCAAAGTGAAATCGAAATGGTTGGCTCTCGATTCTGCATTTTCTGACGTCACCAAAGCAATCATTGCATGTTTGCCAAATTTTGATGCGAGTTTCTGATTCGCCCTAACTCTTCTGAAATGAAATTAAATGCTAGATCAGTTGTAAATAAAAAAATTCTTGGACGTGCAGAAAATAGGAAAGAATAAATAATCCGAAACGTAAAAAATATGACCGTGTTCTAATAGAGTTTCCTCTATCGCTACATAAAACATCCGCTAAAAGTATTATTAATGGTAAGTAAAGAAGCTAATCCAACAATTATAATATATATGTGCCATATGAACATTATTTTTTGTAGGGCAAAGTTTACAAACGGTCGGGCAGACTTCTCATGTTTGGGATTGCCCTTTCCAAATTTCTGCGTGCCCAAGAAAATAATGTTGATTTGGCATGCGCAGCGATCGTCACTCGCGCAGTACAGCTGATCTAACATTTGAACCTATTCAAGATGAGATGGGGCAAAGAAGAAATTCGCGTTGAAATTGAGCAAACATACAATGATTGCTTCTAGTGACGTCAGAAAATGTAGTAACGAGAGCCAACTACTCCGATTTCGCTTTGCGTAATCCGAAATCGCATCTATTCCTGACTGTTTGTGCCAATTCGAAACAAATATTGGAAAGCGTGTGATTTTAAGATAAACATATCTAAGCTGCGTAGAGTGTCCACACCTGTCGAATGACATGGCATGCGCATGAATACAGTTGGTAGACTAAGTTGCATGCACATCAAAATGGCCGAAATATCAATGGTAACATACATGGAGCACTATAACGTGTACGGCAACGATTTCAATGTTATGAGTTGTACTAAGAAGAGTGCGCGGAAAACCTTTGATGAAACAAGGATGAAACTAAAGAATTACTGAATGACGATTGAATGAACAAGAGAGGCATTCATAGGGCGAAAATGTGCTAGGCGCGGACCTCGCGATCTGGATGGGTTGGAGGTGTCGCGATCGGTGCGGAGCGACTCGGCAGTGGTTCGTGTCAAATTATAATATTGTGTAGGCTATAGTGGGGTAGCCCATATGGGGTACACATTTCTAGGGTTGCATATTTGTATTACTTCCATTCCTTAGTCATTCATCCTCGTTCTACTTTCCTCATGGTATCGAGCAGGTTCCCCACATGGCCTAGGGCCCACCACATCGAGTTTCAAAAAGTTTTTCCTGCCCGAAGCGCGCTCCGCCCGAGTCGCGCTCCGGGCTCTCACCTCGCCGAGCCGCCCTAGCGGCCCCCTATGCCCTAGCGGCCCCTTCCCCTAGCGGCCCCGCCGCCCTTCGTTTCGGCCCCGCCGCCCTTTAGTGCGGCCCCGCCGCCCGTCACAGCGGCCCCGTCGACCCGCATCGCGGCCCCGCCGCCCGTCTCCGCAGCCTCGCCGCCCGTCGCTACGGCCCCGCCCCTACTCAGCGGCCCCGCCGCCCTTCTCCTCAGCGGCCCCGCCGCCCTGCTCAGTTGCCCCGCCGCCCTACTCAGCGGCCCCGCCGCCCTACACAGCGGCCCCGCCGCCCTTCTCCTCAGCGGCCCCGCCGCCCTACTCAGCGGCCCCGCCGCCCTTCTCCTCAGCGGCCCCGCCGCCCTACTCAGCGGCCCCGCCGCCCTTCTCCTCAGCGGCCCCGCCGCCCTTCTCCTCAGCGGCCCCGCCGCCCTACTCAGCGGCCCCGCCGCCCTTCTCCTCAGCGGCCCCGCCGCCCTACTCAGCGGCCCCGCCGCCCTTCCGCAGCGGCCTCGCTGCCCTTCTCAGCGGCCCAGCCGCCCCTCACACCAGCGGCCCTGCCGCCCTACACCGCCCGCGCCGCCCGAGCCGCCCGAACCGCCCGAGCCTCCCGAGCCGCCCGACCTGCCCGAGCTGCCCGAGCCGCCCGACTCTCCTGAGCCGCCCGAGCCGCCCAACCAGCCCGAGCCGCCCGAGCCGCCCGAACCGCCCGAGCCACCCGAGCCGCCTGAGCCGCCCGAGCCGCCTGAGGAGCAGAGCCGCTGGTGCCACGGAGCCGCAGTTGCTGCAGTGCCGTCCGAGCAGCCGTGTTGCCGTGCTGCTGTACCGGTGAGCTGCCCGACCCGCCCTGCCTGGTGAGAGCAGCGCTTCTCTCACTGCACTGCCCCTGTCCTACAGTTGGTACTGCTAGTCCACTGTTGTCATGGCTACCCCCAGTGTTCTCGCTTTTGACGCTGAGGGTCCAGCCATTGACTTTGAGGTTTGGGTGGATGACCTGCAGCTTTTCCTACAGTGCGATAGGGCAGACGGTCTTTCCCTCTTTGACCTCACCTCTGGTGCTTCCCCAGCCCCTGCTGCCGATGCCGACGCCACTGTTCGCTCCCAGTGGGCCACTCGCGATGCTGCTGCACGTCTTGCTGTGCGTCGCCACCTGCCTACCACTGAGCGCGCGCACTTTATCCAGTACAAGAGTGCTCAGACCTTGTACGACGCTGTCGTTGCACGCTACTCCTCCCCTGCCACTGCTGCACTGAGCCGCCTCATGCTACCGTACCTCTTTCCTGACCTTGGTGCCTTTCCCACAGTCGCTGACCTCATTACGCACCTCCGCACTAGTGACACTCGCTACCGCGCCGCGCTTCCTGCTGAGTTCTGCGCCAAGAACCCCCCCCCCATGTACATCACTCTCTATTATATAGTCACCCGCCTCCCCGACTCCCTTCGTGTAGTCAGGGACCACTTCCTCTCAGTCTGTCCCACCACTCTCACTGTTGACCTCCTAGAGAAGGCCCTCCTAGCGGCGGAGAAGAGCATAGTCGCTGTAGGAGCCTCTCGTGGTGACCCTCGCACCCCCATCTTTGAGGGGTGTTCCCCTTCCCCCTTGTTGCCCTCTGTCGCCTCTGCTGCTGCGGACGACCTCGTTGGTCTTGAGTCGGTCGGTGCGGCGTCTGCCCCTAGCGGGAGACGCCGCTCTGGCAAGGGCAAGGGGGGCAAGGGCGCGGGTGGGGCTAGCGGGGGTGGTGGAGGTGGCGGTGGGGGCGGCGGGGGGAGTGGGGGTGGCGGTGGGAGTGGTGGCGGAGGCGGAGGCGGCGGTGGCAGTAGCGGTGGGAGCGGAGGCGGCGGTGGCGGCGGAGGTGGAGGCGGCGGTGGTGGAGGAGGTGGAGCTAGTCGGGGTGGTGCTTCTCAGCGGAGCGGCTCCGGGAGTGGTCAGCGCCAGCAGCAGCAGCAGCAGCAGCAGCGTTCTCGGGACATCCCCCCTCCTCAGCAGCTCCGTGAGTGGTACACGCAGCGTCAGCGTGGTGGGGGTTTTGGCCCGTTCACCTACGTCCTCCGCTCCGGTGACCGCGCGGGTGAGCAGTGTGGGGGTGCTCACCCCACCCAGCGCTGCTTTGGCCGCCTGACGGACGCTTGGCGTCAGCAGTTCCCGGAGGCTAGTGAGATCCCCCGCTGGGGAGAGCTGTCTAGGGCAGGCGTAGCTATCTTTGATCTTGACTTTGATGCTATCCTTGCTGCCATGTATGCTGTGACTATTAGTGATGAGGGTGACTGTTACCGGTGTTTCCCGCCCGACCCGGGCATTGGTACTGCTGCACTAGGTACTGGTGAGGCTGCTGCTCTAGGTGCCAGTGCGTCCGCGCCCTCAGGTGCTGGTGAGTCTGCGCTCTCAGGTACCACGTCGGCTTCGGCCTCCCTCACCTTCACACTTGACTCAG